TAAACAGACACAATTCACCTGTTATAATAAAATAAAAAATTATTACCATTTTGAACTTGAAGATAAACCATGACTTAGGTTGTGTGGCATTAAAGTAGATAAAAAATTTGTAGGATCAGAGATGTAAGAAACAAAGAACAGAAATTACTAGAATTTATACAAATTGAACTCAGAACTTTTTTGAAATTAATATTGTGTATTGTACTGCTGTCTCTTTTCTGAGCTCTTTAACTTTGAAACACAAGACTTGACAAACAAGTCTGCTGCATAGAGAAACAAGTTGTGCGCAGTGTTACGGTTGTGGTAAGGATTAAACTCAGGACTTCTTGTTATCCAGCAGGCACTCTGCCACTCCCCAACTGCTGCATCTCTATGCTGGTAAAGTGTTTTTTTTTGGAGAGTTTAGCCTTTAAACTATTTTATACATTTTGGTATTAAAGGAGGACAGGGATCTCAAATTTCATTATAAGCATATTTAATCCATTAAACATTTTTTCTGTGGGGTAGTTTTTACCTTTATTATTTAGTTTAATTTCACCTTTATTATTTAATTTAATTATTATTTACACGTTATAATTTTTTAAATACAAGATTTTGCTGTGTAAATTTTATTTAAAAACTTTGGCATATAAAATTTACCAAATGGTTACACACGAGCAGTGAATGCCTAAGGAAAGAAATAAAGTACATTAGAATAAAGGAGAATTGTTTATTGAATAAAGCATATTTTGACAGTTGTCAAGATAAAAATAAAGATTAATAGAGGAATATTTAAAAATAAATAAGACAGGCTATACACCCAAAACAGTACTCAACAATAATAACAATAAAAAAATAAAAAAAAGTAAAAAATAAAAATTGTTTTATAAACACTAATATGAACTAAGATATACAACAAATACATCACCAGACAAAAACTTATTAAACATAAGACCGATCACAAAATAAAAAGTATGCTAACAACAATGAAAGGCCTAAGAATGGAAAAAAAAATTAATGCTAATGTGTAAACATAATTTGTGTAGTGATTAAGTAATAAACATCTCCTCAGAGTCGCGTCTATTAATACTGGCATTTCGAAGAGGATCAGCATTTATAACTAGTTTGTTCCGTCAGACAAATGCCATTGCCACTTATGCTTTACCCCGCGACTAATGCCTATTCCATACTGAAGTAAAAAAGGACTCACTACAAATAGCCAAAACCCAACCAACCCCCAAATTTGTAAAGCACCAATATATTTTTGATGATATGATATAAAAAGTGTAGATCTACTAAACAAACAAAAATAAAAATAACTAAATAAAACACTTACCATACCACCATAAAAACAAATGAAAACAAAATAAATTAAAATTCTAATAGAAACATAAAAATATTAATAAATTTATTTTAAAATAATACTTTAAAATAAAACCAAATAGGTATTATTAGCATAAACAAGCCCAAGATAATCAAAAAGCAGTATACCTCATTAAAAAATTTTTTTTTTAATCAACAAAACAACATTAGCCTTAAACTCTAACGCTGTCATAGATACCTCATTTGAAATATGATAACAAATCAAAAGTGTAGGAAAATGAGCAACCCGCGAAACCCAAAATCATAACAATAATTGAATAATATATGATAGCGAAAAAGAATGTTGCACAAAAACCTTAAAAATATAAGCGGCATATATGTAAACATTTAATGAAGGATACAAAAATATTCAGAGAATATTTTTGTATCCTTCATTTAATCCTTTCATAAAGATGAAAATTGTGCATGTAAAAATTAAAACAAAGCTGAGTAAAATTTCAGCCTGATACCTGTTTTAGTTTTTGAAATATTCACGTTCAATTATTGCGAAAATGAATTAATGCTTATCTGCTAATGGAGGAAAGGAGGTTTTTCAAAGTATAAAACTGGTTAGAAAACTGATTAACAGCACGTGAATTTGCGACAACCCTTAAAACTTTAAAAAATCGCATCTCAGAAAGTTTTTGACAAAATGGCCTAAAATTTTCAGCAATTGTTTAACTTTGTATGTACTACAAGCCCTAAAAATTTCAGGAAGATCTGAGATGGTGTAAAAATTTAATAAACTAGCTAAACTTTGCTGCTAGTTTATTAAAAACTAGCAGCAAAGTTTAACTTTGCTGCTAGTTTATTAAAAGTTCCCTTTATTGATCTCAAAATTACTTTTAATTTTATCTTGCCTGGAAGCTGTAATGCACTTAATCTTTAATTCAGTCACTATTTTCGTTAAGTCATTGCAACCAATACATTCTGTAGCGTCACCTTCATTAACAACTAGATTATGAGGTCTTGATGACTTTGCTTACTTTCTTCTGGATCTCTGTTGTTGCAGTTGCAATTTTATGTTTGGTATATGAAATTCTACTTCAAACAGGCATTGCATGAAGCTTAACTGGCATGTTATACTGTCATTTAGTTGAGAAAGGTGCAAGTCAACGTCTTCTATATCGGTATCACTAGCTGAATGTCCATAACTCTGTTCAGGTTCCTGGGATGTATCGGACTTTCGACAGCTTGGGCATAGCTTTTCACCAGGTTTGATGTGTCTCCCAGTTGTTAGTGTTAGCTTCTTGGCTTTGTCGATACTGACTGCCCTCAGTGATTTGTGACTTTGCATTGATGTTTATTGAACGGATCACAATAACTCCGCTGCAATTTATCATATTTTTCAAGTAGAACCTGTTCGTGGTGGAAGCATATATATATATATATATTTTTTTAATTCATATATTTGCCGTACATATAACATTTACAAGTTTCGTAAATTAAAAGTAATTTTTACAAGTCTCGTGAGTCAAAATATATAGTGAAATTTATAATTAGATAGTACAGGCCGGACTTCAAGAAGATCGTAATGATCTTATCACGAAGCCCTTACAATGTGTTTGATATATTATTATGATTATGTTAAATATAATTATATATTAAGTACAACTATGTTTATATATTCTTTAAATTTAGCTCATAATAAAAAATAAACTCAAAATAAGCTCAGTATAAAATATTAGACATAACTAGCAGCATAATAACTAAACTTGATAAGAAAAAATCAAGTGTTTTTTTTTGTGTGTAATAAACAATTTTCGATATATTGTTTGAGAAAGGTAAGAGTCATTTAGATAATACAGATAAACGAGTCAGTTCACTTTGTAGTTGATATATATGTATTTTAACTTATAGTCTTAGAAGAATTCTGAGTATCTGTTTAGATTCAGTATCAGATTTTTTAACTTTTTTTTCAAGAAATTTTGATCGCAAATTGAATCTAGATTGCAAATTGATTTATTTTTAGTTACTAGTTTGTTGTATAAATAAGGACCCCGATATGAAATTGAGAACTGGGAAAGTTTTGTTTTTTTGAAAGGTGTAATAAAGTTTCCTTTTTCTCTTGTGTTATATTTATTAACGTTATTTATAAAAAAGTTATTTAAAAAATGGTTTGGTACTTGACCTAATTTAAATTTTAGCATAAACAATATATTTTGGTAAATATTAATTTGATAAATATTAAGCACATTCATTTCTTTAAATAAGGGTTCAGTGTGTGTAAATTTGTCTTTATGGTAGATTAGTCTAACAGCATGTTTCTGACGTCGATATAAAGTTTTCAATTTGGTTATATGCGTACTCGCCCAAGCTATATTCGCATATATGAGGTAGCTATGTATAAAAGAGAAATATATAAGTTTTAAATTACTTTGCGACAGCATAGGTTTTGCTTTATAAAGTAGACCTATGTTTTTTGATATTTTAGTGTTTAAAGCATTTATGTGACTTTTCCAAGATAAATTTTCATCAATTATAACTCCTAAAAATTTAGTTTCGTGAGTTCTCTCAATTACTATATTTTCTATTTTTAGAGAGGGTAGAATATTTGGTAGTGTATTTCTTTGTTGGTTTGAGTGAAATAAAGTGTATTTTATTTTTTCTATGTTTAGGGATAACTTATTTGTTTTAAACCATATATTTAATTTTTGGAGTTCTATGTTTACATTATCATACAGATCCTTGATGTTTGTCGAAGAGTAAAATAAATTTGTATCGTCTGCAAACATTATAAATTCAAGTTTGCTAAAAACTTTTGGAAGGTCGTTTATATAGATTAGGAACAAAAGAGAAGCAAGAATCAAACCTTGAGGAACACCACAAGTTAATAATTTACTGTGGTAATTATCATCTGTAATAACACACTGTTGTCTGTTATACAGGTAACTTTTAAACCACTGCAGTGTATGGTTTTTTAATCCATATTTTTCCAACTTTTTTAGTAGGATTTCATGATTTATTGTGTCGAACGCTTTTGACAAGTCTACAAAGACTCCTAATACGAACTTCTTTTCATAGATTGATTCACTAATTCTATTGACGAGGTCTACGATAGCATGCTCTGTCGAGTGCTGAGTTTGAAAACCATATTGGTTTTCATTCAGGATTTTGTTTGTGATTAGGTATTTATATAAACGATTGTAGATTATTCGTTCGAGCAGTTTTGAAAATACGGGAAGGATTGATATTGGTCTGTAATTATTTAAGGAAGATGTATCTCCGGATTTATAGATAGGAATAATTTTAGCTATTTTTAAATAGTCGGGTACAATTTCTGTAATTATTGAAGAGTTAAATATTTGAAAAATGGGTTTACTTATTTCTGGGAAGACATTCAAAATAATATTGGCTGGGATATTGTCGATACCTGGACCTTTGTTTTATTGCAGTTCTCTCTTTGTAATTGATCAACAGGCTTGGTTCTTAACATCAACAATTCAAAGTTAGCATTGGATAATTCTGACAGGTTATGCAAGCTGACACTGCATGTATGAACTGTCTTGTGGCATTCATCTTAAAGCAACAATCCAAATGCGCACAATGGCAGTTCAGTCATATTCAGTAAATATTGAATCTATATCAAATATAAAAAAAATGTGATAGCATATTTTTATAAAAACATTCCATACTAATTCAACCAAAAAAAATTACAAATTTACATGCTACTTTCTCATAATTCAATAAAACTTTTAGTAAATGTTTATAAATGTTTTCTATTAAAAAAATGAAATACCTAAAAAAAATTAATACATAAAAAAAAAAATAATAATAATAAAAAAAAATTAATAATTATATATTATTAATATGAAATACCTAAATAAAATATTAAACAAAAAATTCAATTGAAAATATTCTTGCAGATTTTTCACCAAGAAGGAGGCAAGACACCAACATGAAATTTTTACCATAGCTAGTACTTACTAAGGCTAATAAATGTGCAAAATATGAAAGGCGTGAATTACATTTACAATTACAATTACAACATGGTCATTTGGGGGTTGCAATGCGAACAAAAATTGATGACCGTGATGCATAACAGTGTCTACAATGAGTACACTATTATTGATTAACATGAATTTTCTATGAAAATAATAAACACATATATGGTACTTATTATTGGTATGACAAACATCATTCCATGTTTTATTGGTTCTTGGCTATATCGGGTCAAATATTGGTGAAAACTGTCTAAAGTGCAATGTTTGGACATCTTTAGGGGATATTGTATGCAAGCTATGTTTGATATAAAAACACCATTCAACTCAGCATGAAAAAAAAGAGTAAATGCTGAAAATTTCAGCCTGATACCTGTTTTAGTTTTTGAAGTTCAATTATCGCGAAAATGTAAAAGTCATGTGAATTCGAAACAACCCTTAAAACTTTAAAAAATCATATCTCAGAAAGTTTTTGACGAAATGGCCTATAATTTTCAGCAATTGCTTAACTTTGTATGTACTACAAGCCCTGAAAATTTCAGGAAGATGGTGTGGTGGATGAGATGGTGTGGTGAACAATTGTCAAAATGCTGGTTGAGTTGATATAGAATGACTCTATGATTAAATAATGCTCTGCCAAAGATTGTTTAAAATATACTTATTAAATACAGTACTATATCTATCTCTCCATCATATAATCCATCTATGCATATAATTTGCCTTATTTGTTATTAATTTGTTTTTTTCTTGAGAATCTGTTAATAGAAAAACATGTGCAAGCTTGGCAAGATTTAAATGAATAGATGAATTTTTAATTGATTTAAGGATTAAAGTATGTACATGAAATAAGTGGGAAAGTAAAAAAACAACTAAAAAACTAAAATCAACTTTAATTTAAAACTGAGTATTAATTTTAGTGGATTAATACAAGAATATAAAATATTTCAAAGAAATTAATTTATTGCTGTGGGCATCTAATAAAGTTTTGAACTTTAATTTTGGTGGTATCCATAAGCTTGCGTACAGAATAACAATTAAAGTTAGGCTTTTTAAATTAGATTATTAAATTTTTTACATTTCTGCATAGTTTTTTTTCATTTTTTTCCTTCATTTTTTGTTTAATGGCCCAGTACTTAGCAGTAATTTTAAATTCTGGGCAGTTTAGAGGATTTGCTATTTTAGACACAACTTTCACATTATTTTGTTTATACCAGTAGTTGTAGGCAGTTTGCTATAATTACTTGTCGATAAATCAGAACTCAGTTATAATGTGATTTAGTATGAGGTAAAAAACATTTTTGTAAATACTCTTTAACATGTATTTTAGCAGAAAGCGTGTAATCAGAATTATAGGGTGCTGATTTTTTATCATATATATTGAATTTATATATATATATATATATATATATATATATATATATATATATATATATATATATATATATATATATATATATATATATATATACAGTGGTATACACTGGACTTTTAGATGTTTAAGTTTTGACACTTACAGGTATTTTGCAAACTCCAAACTTTTGTATGTTCATGCTTATGTCAAATGAGAATGTTTTGCAAAGAGTTGCGATGATAAGAGCTTGGAGACAAAAAAAACCCAATTTTTGGGCCCACCCAGCCCTTAACGTGGGAGCAACAAGTTGATAAAATAATTTTTTTAGTATTTTTATCTAAGTTTATAATCATCAACAAATTTCAAATTTCATCCAATAATTTCTTATTTTTCAAAAATTATGACCATATAAAGTTTTAACCCCCTCAATTTGAGGGGGCTTTGTAGGGTCATAAAAACTAAAAACTAAAAACTTTGTAGGGTCATAAAAACTAAAAACTAAAAAGTTATTGCATGAAATTTGAAATTTGTTGATGAATATAAACTTATATAAAAATACTAAAGAAAATATTTTATCAACTTGTTGCTCTCACGTTAAGGGCTGGGTGGGCCCGAAAATTGTTTTTTTTTGTCCCCAAGCTCCAATCACCACAACTTTTTGCAAAACATTCTCATTTGATATAAGTATGAACATACAAAACTTATCACTTCAATAATTCAGAAATTTTTAGAAATATAATTGTCATATAACTTTCTTTAGCAGACTTTTGCAGTTTTTTTGAACTTCAGAATGGTTAGGCACTTTTGGTGATTTGAAAGCTTGAAAAGCATATTTATTTTAAAATTTTACAACAAAATTATAAGATCTTTTTGCTTCTTTCCTTAATGAGAGGCTTGAGTTATTCATAAAACTGTTAATCAGTTTTCTAACCAGTTTTATATTTTGAAAAGCCTCCTTTCCTCTGTTACCAGATAAGCATTAGATTAATTTTGTTTGGAAAAAACATTTAATAACATGACTTGCAGTGTAGGGATGTATTTGCAACTTTTTTGGTAATGAATTGTAGCTTCTTTTCCGATTTTCTAAATATTTGTGCAAAGTAATTTTTCTAACCTCTTTTTCTTTCATCATTTTTAAAATTTATTTTAAGTTAAATGAGAAAACTTAAACACAATTAAAAATATATTAATATTATTAATATATTTTTAATTGAAAAAAAAATGACATGTTTACTCTTTCACATTTATTTCATGTACACGCCTTATTTATTTGTAAGAATGACATTGCTAATGCTGGAACCATCTGTTTAATGGAGATGAAAAAAAGAGTGAAAAGAAGAAAAAAAAGAAAATAATTATGAAAAAATAAAAAAAAAAGATTAAACACAAATCAATGGTTGAAACCAGTCATAGTCAAGGAAAAAATTGAATAAAAAGATACAGAAAAAAAAAATTAGTAATAAAAAGCTTAACACAAAGTGCAAAGATGGAAAAATAATAAAACAACATAAGTAAATACATAAAAAAGATGTTTTTAATAATGGAGTTAGGTGACCTTAAAATAATGGATTAAGTGACCTTCAAATAAAACTTTTTTCAACTATTCTTATTTTTTTTCTATTCTCAATTATTTTTATTCTCAATTATTTCAATTATATTCTTATTTTTTTCCATAATTATTTTTGTTTTTATTTTTCTATTCCTAAACATTTCAAGTTAAATAACAGTAATTATGTTCAAACTTATTTTTTGTTTTATTTTATCTGAACATAATATTTTTTTTTTATCTGTACACAACACATGTTTTGAGTTGATTTGAAGTTTGTTTATTATTGTAATTAGGTACTTTAAAGTGTATTTATTATTGTAGTTAGGTACTTTAGGTGCAGGAAATCACTATGCTGAAATTCAAGTTGTTGAAGAGATATTTGATACACATGCAGCAAAAAGAATGGGACTTGATCACTGCGGACAAGTAGAAAATTATTTATTTTATGAAAGTGTTTTAAATAATATGAATGTATTTTTAAAATGTTATTTTTATAATTTATTAAAGTTATTATTGAACAGGTATGTGTGATGATTCATTGTGGGAGTAGAGGTCTCGGACATCAGGTGGCTACTGGTAAAAATTGCATTATTTTCAAAAAAATCAAAATTATAATAGGAGATTTTATAGGAGAAATAAAGATTTTTCTTCATTTTTTAATTCTAATGTTTGTAAATTTGTTTATTATTAAAAAAATTTTGATATTTTTTTTGTTTGTTTAATTATTATTTTTTTAAATTTATGTTAAATTTTTGTTTTACTTTATTAAACATAATTTGCATAAAAATTGATTTGTAAATGTTAAATAATGCTCATTAAGATGCATTGGTTGCAATGGAACGTGCAATGACTCGTGATAAAATAATTGTTAATGACAGACAGGTATCTTCTGAGTAGATTTGTATTATTTCTTTAAAAATTTTGATGTTTATTTACTTGGAAATTCTCCGAATTCATCTTTTTATTAAATGCTATCAAAAATTATATTTGTTTGCAGTTAGCTTGTGCTAGAATAAATTCAACAGAGGGTCAAGATTATCTAAGTGCAATGGCAGCTGCTGCTAATTATGCCTGGGTCAATCGATCAAGCATGACTTTTTTAACCAGACAGGTGTCTGATTTTTCCCAATTATTTATCATATTGGTCTCCTTTTTTTTAATCAACACATTTGATTTTTTTTTCCTTTTTTTTTTATAAGGCGTTTTGTAAAGTTTTTTTGATGTATATTTTATTTTATAAGGCCTTTTTTAAATTTTTTTTAATGTACATTTTCATTTATAAAGTTTCGTAAGATTTTTTTTATGTATATTTTCCTTTATAAAGGCATTTGGTAAAGTTTTTAACTCAACTCCAGATGATTTGGATATGCATGTCATTTATGATGTTTCTCATAATATTGCAAAAATCGAAGAACATGTATCTTTTTTTAATTAAAATTTATATGTTACAATTGTTAAATTGCAAATTGTGTATTAGTAGGTTATATGTCTACAAAATGTCAGAAAATTTCAAAATTAAGCAATAAATATACCAAATAAATTACAGTAGATCTTTATAATTGAATGTAAAAGTGACACTTTAATTATCTTTTCTGCTGTTTTGTTATTCAATCTATGTATTAATTTAATCTAAGCACATTTTAGACTAGTTATTTTAAAACTAAAATTTTTATGGACGTGTTAGTGTCCGAATATTTTTATGGGAGTGTTTTTGGATATGGATGTGTTCGTGTTTGTACATAAGTGAAGTTTGTACATAAAGTTGTTTGTACATAAGTGAAATAATTAGTTTTGAAATTTTTAAATAAGTTTTTTTTTCTTATAAAGAAACTGTGTTGGATCAACTTTACTCAGTGTTGGCTCAACTTTACTCAGTATTAGCATTTATGTTACTTAATAGGAATAATAAAGACCAAAACTGTCAAAGTTTTCCGAGAAACTTTTCAAAGATATAAAGAAGGCTTTAAGGTAACAAGAGCTTATAAGACATAAAGAAGGCACCATAGTAGCAAGAGTGTTAAACGTATTGCATTGTTGAACATTAATGACAGGAATTTTATCTTATTATTATTATTTTTATTTATCTTAGCTTAATCGATTGACTTCAACTTTATAGTACTTTTATATTGCAAAATGAACGGCAACCAAATGAAAAAACCCATCTCTTCTTAAAGTATAACAGTCTTTAACATTGTTACTGTTGCAACAAAAAAATTTGTTTGATCTTTAAGACTGTTATCTTAAATCAGATTTACAGCCCTCAGAATTAGGGTCGGCAATGCTGACCTAACTGCCAACCTAGAAATGTTTGAGGTTGGCAAAAAATCGCTAACCTTGTTTTTATATTTTATGGTAAAGCCTTTCTATCAAATTTTTTTTTGCTGATCTGATGCCGATTTCAAGTAGATTGAGGTTGGAAAATTATTGCTGACCTCATTTTTCCTAATTCCAAGGCTGGATTTAAAAATTAAAAGCAAATGTTTTCTTTGATGTTCATTAGAAAGTTTGATGAATTGCAGAATTTTAAAAGTTGATGCAATATATATATTTTTTAAACATCTTCGCTTCTAACAAGGCTGCAAGTAACCACTAATTAGAGCTGGAAGTTACTGGAAGAGAAAATACGAAGATTGTAGAGCAAGATAACGATTGACAGACGACTTAAAAGATTGCTAATTATATGAATCAGGAAAGCAAGATGAAGGAAGCAAATTCCAAAGAACTGATGTTCGAGGAAAAAAACTAGATGAATAAGAGTTTTTGGAGCACCTCGGAACAGTCATAGAAAAAGGTTGAGACTTAATTGAATGACGAGTAGCTTAAGAATGAATTTTAGTAGATGGCACAAGAGACGCTAGCTCTTTAGAGCGGTGCCCATTATAGTATTTGTAGAAAAGAGAAAGAGAAGCAACTTTACAACGATGTGATAATGGTTACAATGCGTTTTTGCACCTTGTCTAAAAGAGAAAGGGGATCATTAGAAGATCCACCCCAGATATGGTAACAGTATTTCATACAAGGTCGGATTTGAGATTTATAGAGATATAAATCTCAAATCTGGCCTTCTTATCATGACAAGAATAAATGGTAGTATCATCAATGAACAATGCCACTTAGATGTGAGAATATCTGGAAGATCTTTAATGTAAATTAAAAAGAGTATAGGGCTAAGGATTGAACCTTGAGGAACCCCTGAGGTTAGAAAATAAGAAGAAGAGTGCTGTCCATCGAGGGCAACTTTTATACTACTATTGGAAAGGAAGGATTCAATAATCTTATAGATGTTTCCAGATACACCATAAGTTGATAGCTTATGGAGAAGACCAGCATGCCAAACTTTATCAAAAGCTTTAGAAATGTTAAGAGCGATAGTCTTAACCTCTCCACCTTTATGCACAATAAAACCTATAGATTATTACTGTTAACAAATCAGTCGTAGAACTAGAAGATTGAAATCCATATTGATGATCAGAAAGTAAGTTATTAGATTCAAGATTCAAAATTTTTTGTTAATTAAAGATTCAAAAACCTTGCATATGATAGTAAGAAGACGTAGGACAGTATTTAAACGAATCAGATCTCTCTCTAGAACTTTTGAAAATAGGGATAACAGATGCTGCTTTCCAGCAGGTTGGAAAACAAGACTTTGATAAGCACTTGTTGAATAGTTTTGAAAGTATAGACGACAGCTCCGGAGAACACTTCTGCAAGATTATAACAGGTATATTGTCACAAGCTGAGGAAGAGTCTAAGCAGGAAATCACTTTAGAAGCTGGAGTGATACAAATGTCAAGCAATGGGTTAACCTGTTTGTCGGCTATATCAGGTAGAACGCAACTAGTGGAATCAACAGCAAACAATTCAGCTTTGTCTTTAGGTGAGGTGACAAAGTCTGAACCATACAAGAGAGGTGGAATTACAGATTATATGCATCAATATTAAAAGTTCTGCAATGTAATAAGCAATGAAGGCCTAAAATGAGCCCTGGATCTCTCCACAACACCTTTAACTTATTATTTTCTAAACATTTGTTATTTTAAATTATTTTACTAACTCTGTATGCTTTTTTAATATATAAACATAGAGTTTGATGAAACTTATTTTGTGTTAAATTTATTCAATATAATTAATACTTAACAGCTCTTGTAGATGGTTAATGGGTGTTTAAAAACCTTGTTAGTTCATCGTAAAGGTGCAACTCGAGCGTTCCCACCACACCATCCTCTAATTCCTGTGGATTATCAAGTATTTTTTTTTTTTTTACAATTCTGTAAAAGTATTTACTATAACAAGCAGAGTATAACTCCTAAAAACTAAAAAAACAAAATAAACATAAATTGTTATGTTTTATCATTTTTTATAGATTGAAATTTATTTTTTATTTATTAAAAATTATTTTTAAGTTGACAGGACAACCTGTTCTCATTGGTGGTAGTATGGGAACTTGTAGGTAAGTGAGATATTTATGCTTGTATGTAGGAAAGTTTGTTTGTCGTTTTTTTGTACTATTTAACTATGTTTATCAGTCCGTTTTTGTGCTTATGATATTTTTATGCCAACAAAATGTGACAAACTTGATTTCTTTCTGGTCCAGATCTTTAAGGAGATTTCAAACTGTGATTTCTTTCTGGTCCAGATCTTTAAGGAGATTTTATTTTCAAGTTGCTGTTTATCTCCATTATCAAATGTGAATAGCTCAAGTTTCTTTTAATCTCATCTTTTATTCACATTTACAATATTGTGAATTCATTTACAGAAATTGAATAAAGTTTGCATCAAAAGAGTCATAAAATATAAAGAAGAGTCTTGTATTTACAACCTGCTTCATGTTCTGCTGATATCCAATCCTATTCATTTACCTTCTCTACTCGACTTATGTCTTGTTTCTGATTCTAGTCAGAATTTCTTTGTGATGGCCCTTGGATAGAAATCTTTCGTCTTCTTGTTGAGAAATGTGCTTCTTGAATTCATTATTTAACTATGTTTATTGCTGTAAAAATTTAAATGATTTAAATATAGCGCAAGTATAAAAACAAAAATAAAATATGAAGAAATCATACAGTATTATTTTTATCATACAAAAGAATAAACAAAAAAAAAAAAATATTTCACTTTATTTTTACCAAAAATTTATATCTTACACGGGCTTTATTTTGCCCGTGTAAACTGATTTGTACGGGTGTGGAGGCAGGCTCGGGCTATAGCCTGCCATTCTTGCCAAAGTATATATATATATAAATATACATATATATAAATATATACATATATATATATATATATATATATATATATATATATATATATATATATATATATATATATATATATATATGTATATATATATGTATATATATATATGTATATATATATATATGTATATATATATATATATATATATTTATATATATATACATATATATATATATATATATACATATATATATATATATACATATATATATATATATATATATATATATATATATATATATATATATATATATATATATATATATATATATATATATATATATATATACATATATATATATATATATATATATATATATATATATATATATATACATATATATATATATATATATGTACATATATATATATATGTATATATATATATATATATATATATATATATACATATATATATATATATATATATATATATATATATATATATATATATATATATATATATATATATATATATATATATATATATATATATATATATATATATATATATACACACACACACATTTATAAGACTAATATTGCTAATACTAGATATTTTGGCATTTATATATTTATGCATTTACATATATTTTTTTTTCATACATTGTAACATAATAAGTTTTAATATAATATTTATATATATTAAATTTTTAATACATTTACTTTTTTTTCCAAATTTCAAAAATAGTTATGTGTTAACTGGTACTGAAGTTGGAATGAAAGAAACTTTTGGAACAACATGTCATGGAGCAGTGAGTAAATAATTTGTACTCAATTATCATTAAGTTTATTCCTTGTCATGCAACACATTTTTTTACATTTTTTGTAGCCTACCTATTTTGTTTTATTTTTTATATTTGATATTTTTATTTAGTTTTAAACAATATAAAAAAACCAAATAAAAATAAAACAAAATGTACAAATAAATTAGAAATTATTTAAAAGACTAGTAAAGGTAATCCGACTAGAAGCTTGTGGAAAGCTGTAGAATGAGCTTATGAGTTTTAATAAATTTTATCCGCTTGGTTGGTTATGCTACTAAAAAAAAGAATAAAATTGCTAAAGTTTATGGTTTTGGGAATAAATATTATTTTATTGCCAAAACCATAAGCGTATAATTAACTATAAAATTTATGGTTTTTTAAAATTTATTGACAAAGTTAAATTTTATATGTTAACTATACAAATTATAAATAGGTAATAGTATAATTAAGAATTATAAATATTGTTTTCAGTTTTGGCAGGTTAAGAAATTGATGCAGGAAATCTGCATTGCTTGAACTAGACTGAGCAATTAAAGTCCCCTCCATAAAAAAATTTACAAATATAGTCATCAATAACTTGATTGCTAAAATAGGAAAATATATATAGAATCTGAAAATAAGAAAATAGCATGCATAATGCATAAGAAACATATAGAATAATACCCATAAATCATGATTAAATACCCATAAATCTTCATTAAATACCCATAAATCATCATTAAATATTAATGAACAAGACTATAAGACAAATATTACCCAAAAACAAAAATATACATATGGAAGAAGAAAATTGTGAATGCTATATCAAATGACATAATTTTTAAAAAATTGGTGATAAAAAAATAAAAAAATGTTAGAAATAAAAATAATAAAAAAACTAAATACCACCAATGTAATAAGCAAACAGAAACATTAAAAAAAAATCTTTTAAAGAAAGACTTGTAAAAAATTAAATCATTAAAGTTAATACTTTTAAAATTCTCTTCACACAGTTCTGACATAAGTAAGACAAAGGTTCAAGATAAAAGTAAGATTCTCAGAAGTTCTGAGATAAGTAAGACAAATTGTGCATATTTCCCACTTGACTTTGAACCACTTAGACAACTAAAGCTTGGCACAATTCTATATGTAAATACTTGAAGTCTTTCTTATTTGACTAGGTGACACAGAAGCATTTTGATTTTATTTTGAATCGCTGCAGTTGGCTAGATATATCATTGGATAAATAAAGCAAATATTAGGAGATATTAGGAGCCAAAGAAGCTGAAAGTTTTAGTATTTCATAATAACATTGGATATTACAATAAAGTATTATTTTAATGGAATATCCAGTGTTAACTTTGTAACTTGAGTTGAGGATTTGTAAATATTACTTATTATGGGCTTAATTATTAGTAATGTTGATAAATATTCATAATAGATGTGAGAAAAATTCATAAATATTCATAATATATGTGATAAATATTCATAAATATTCATAATAGATGTAAGAAAAATTCATAAATATTCATAGTAGATGTAGAAAATTATTCAAATAGTAGAAAAAATATTCTCATTTTTATTGAAATAAATTTACTACTTGCAATTATAATTTTAAGTTTACAATTTACAAATTTTAATTTTAAGTTTAAACAAATTCACTATTTGTTTAAATATATTATTAAAATTAAATATATTATTGAAGTAAAGTTAAAATTTAAAATGAAAACTTTAGTTTAAGTTGATAAAGTTTTTAAGTTTTGTTTGTAAAATTTATAATTTATCTCTAATTTATATAAATAGATATAAAAGTTATATTTGTTAATATAAATTAAATTTGTTGAAATTTAATTCCAACAAAACAATTGATTTAAATAACTTTTTTATATCAATGTTCTATTTTCTATTATTATTGCGGTTTCTTTTATAGGGTAGAGCTTTATCACGGGCAAAATCAAGGTATAAGTTATGTATTAATAATTTAATATTACATTTAAAATATACATTTAAGTTTATTTAATTTGTGTCCAATAATCCGACATGTTTGCGTTATTTATTTTGTACTAAGATAAAAACTTAAAAAGTTATGTCAATTATAATTAATATCTTTGATTTATCTGTTTTGTTTATTTTGACTTTTGACAAGGATTCTACTTGGTTGACTTTAATACTGAACATACATTTACTTTGTATCCTAATATAATTTACTTTGGTTTTATTGTGTCTACTACTGCAGTTTTACTAAAAACCATGCTAAACATTATGATAACTTCTTCTTTACCATCATGTTAAACATTAATATTAGTTGTTACATTAAAAATAAGAATGCTATAAAAGTAACACAATTAGATTCAACTCAAATAGATTGTTTCAGAACTATTAATGCTCTAGCTATATATTTGATAGCTACAATTTCTCATTGAAAAATGTCATAAATAAGTTGTAATGAAATAACTTCCATTTAAAATGCTCATAAACAATTTATTCCCATTTACCAGTAAAAATTATAACTTTTAAAGTTTATTTATTTTGTAACTAAAATTTGCATTTCTCTAATATGTGCATGATTAAATGTCTAACTTAGTTTATTTTTTGTTGATATGACTAATACCTATGTTAACTATCTATATAGATGACATTTTAATGAAAATCAGAGAAATTTTTTTCTTATATTCCACATATGTTTAAAAAATTTGTCAGAGAAAAGTTGTTGCTGCATTATAATGCATTATTATTATATCATTTTATTGTCTGCTTCTGCCCACTCTCTGTTGCCAAAAAATTGAAAAAATACTAGCTAAATTATTTTTCTGTACTTTTTGGATGGTTTTTCTTAATTTACAAGTTGTTGAAAAATTTTTAATTTTTTAAAATATGATCTCATGGCGAGTTGCAATTGAACAAAATTTTAGTTTTGCAATTGTTTAAAGGTGCAGCAAAGTGTTCAAATGCCATAAAGGAGTACCTTATTTGGTTAGTTGTTTATTTTTAAACTTATATTGAAAAAACAACCAAAAAACAGATGTACAGAAGGAAATGAAATTAACGAGGTTTACCCGCCAACAGATGATAAAAACTGATGTATGTGTTAATTGAAAAGCATTTGTGATATCATAATAAAATGCATAAACATAACCAAAACAAATATTTTGTAAATTTTGGAACAATTAAATTTCTGTTACCTTTAAAAAAGCATTTTTGGAACTTCTGTCATAAACGTTTACAACAATATTTTTGGAAAATGAACAAAATAGAGATGACAAAATTAATAAACATCAAAGTGAGGTCATTTTGTGGGTGAAAAAGTTAAAAATTAATAAACAATAAAAAATGAGGTTTAATTTTACAATGCAATAATTCTAAAACTTAAAAATAATTTAAAATAAAAGTAAAATTATTAAAGAATAAACTTTTTATTTTTTTTTATTTTTTTTTTTTCATATTGTTTTTATATAAAAACAATAAACAATTGTCAATAGTTAATATTAAATAATATTGTATATTATTAAAGATTTGTATGTGAACATAAAATAATAAATGCTTAAAAATGCACTTAATAAGTAGGGGAAGTGGGGAATAAAAGGGACTTAATAAGTGGGGGTATAACCGCATATGGAGGCACAACCGTTTTTTAACATTTCCCTTTGAAAAATGTTATCTAATATGGCAAAAAACATACAATGCGTTAGTAAAACAGCTTCTTTCATTTCGCTTATGTCAAAAAGAGTGCCTGTTACGTTACTGAGAAGTTGTGCATAATAATGTTTATTTTGATTAAAAAAATATATTGAGGCTTTCATTATAATCAAAAAAGTTTTGAATATTTATTTTGAATTTTTAGAAGAAACCTTGATTATAACCAAGTGCTTGATAAACTTAAAAGTCAAGGAATTTCAATTAGAGTGGCTTCTCCAAAGCTTGTTATGGAAGAGGTTATTTTATTATATACTTTAATTTACTTTTTATTTATTTATATTTGTATAATGCTTTTTTTTATATATTTATATTTTGATTCATTAATAATAAAGAATTTTCTCCAAGATCTGTATTATTCTTCCTTTGGAATTTGTGTTTACATTGGTGCTATCACAACCAACAACTCGTATATTATGGAAGATACATCCATTTTGTTAATTACTTACAATATGCAATCTGCTATCTCTTTGCTTTTCCAGATTTTGCCAAAACATGTGGTAGATATTTATTTCCAGTTTTTGCAACTAATTCATAATGCTCTACTTGCTTAATTCCTACATACTATTTATCTATTTCCTTTCCTAGGTTTATGTGTGAAATAATTTTATCAATAGATCATTTTCTTAAAACTGTATTCCTAATTTTATCCTCTTTCTTTTTAATTTATTTTTATCAATTACTTTGGTCTGCATCAATCACAATACCAAAAATCATCAATACAACTGTGGCAAGAAAAACTGCAGCGTAATTTAAAACGAGATACCTATCAGCCTCTCTTGCTAGATTTACTAAGAGATGATTATTCGAGAGTATTCTATTCTTATCGTTTGATCCCCCAAAAGTTTTATAGAATGTATTGTCAATGATATCAAGTCTATGATCAAAATTGATCATAGAATGTTGATAGGGTTTTGAGAAGTAAGATAAAAAGCCATTGCAAGCAGTAGCGCAATTAGGGGGGTTTCTATGGTACCTGGAAACACCTTTTTAAATTGTTAAAAAAAATTAAATTTTTGTCAACCTTTAAAAAAAATATGCACGCTTTGGGTTTCACAAAGTAAAAACCAAAGATTCATAAAATTGGAAACTCCTTTTCAGAAATCCTAATTGCGCGGCTGGCAAGATATGACAGCAAACAAGCAAAACCAGTGCATTTTTCTAATTAGTTACATATATATTTTTTCTTTAATTAGTTACATATATTTTCTTTCATTAGTTACATATATTTTCTTTAATTAGTTACATATATTTTCTTTAATTAGGTTTTTAAATTAAAGTTAAATTGAAAAAAATATTTGTTTTTAGGCGCCTGAATCATATAAAAATGTAACAGATGTTGTGGACACTTGTAAGTTTTATTTTGTATAACTTTTTAATATTTAAATTTCAACATTAAACCAAAAGTATCTGTAAATGTATGCATTATTTGTTTTATTGTTGTTGGACAAGGGATTTCACTGCTGCTGTAGACAATTTAATTGCTGTTTACATTTAGGAGAATATGCAGAAAAAATAGCTAGTGCTATTTTTTCTTAATAAATAAATAATAAGCTATTTGAAAAAATGATTGAAAACTAAAACCACGAGGAACACTTATCTCTATTAGAGTTAAAGCTCTCAATTTAAAGTGTAACAGAATTAGTAAATAACTTTCTATTCAAACAGCCATGGAATTAAGTCTCCCTTGAACTTTCTGACTATTCAACAAAAAAACTTTTTTATACAATTAGAACTGGATTAAAGAGAATCTGTGAAGGAAAGTTTAAAAACTTAAAGAATCTTAAAGAACAACTAGATGAATTTTATATTGTAGAGCAAGTTGAATTTGATTCTACCTAGAATGTAGCTATCATAAGAGGTTTAGTATATATTAAAAATTCCTTGAATTAAATCCTGCTTATTATTAAAGAAAGAAGTGTAAATTCATGTGTAAGTTTTGTAAGAGTTTCTTTAGATGACGGAGGAAGCTTTCTAAAAATTGTTGTTAATTATTTTTGAAGAAAAAAAATCTAAAAATAAATCAATTATAAAAAAACTAGATCAAAAAGTAAAAAATAAAAAAAGTTCTTATTATAATCATTGTTGATAATCACAGAAAGTTATGAAAATCTTAGATTGAAAAAATTAATCAATATTTTATTACTTTTGATCTTAAACCTGCTAATGTATTATTTGCTCTAATGTATTATTTCATCACACACAAGTAAAAAAGCTTGCTTGTGGTGTAGTGGCAAATGTACATTTGATATTGTAACTCTTAAAACTATTGGCGATTATGATTCCTGTTATGAAGCATATATAAAAAATGGATCCATTAGATCTTCCTAAAGGAATTTGATAATATTGTGAACAAATGCCTAGTATATGCTAACATGGATAAAATTATTTTGCTAGAAAATTTAGTTGCTCCGCCTGAGCTACATCTTCTTATTGGAGCAGTGGATAAGATTTTTTTTTAATTGAGTGGGATGGTTTTGAGTTGTGATTAAAAAAAAAACTATATAAGTAAAAAAAAAACTATATAAGTAAAAAAAAAAACTATATAAGTAAAAAAAAAAACTATATAAGTAAAAAAAAAACTATATAAGTAAAAGAGATTAAAAAAAAAACTATATAAGTAAAAGATATCATGGAGTTGGATGGTATGGTAATAATGCAAATAAAATTTTATAATTACTTGATTCACTTCAACTTAAAGTGCAAATTAAAGTACCTTCTACCTGTAGTCATTGTACCTACTTCCTGTAGTCATTGTACCTACTTCCTGTAGTCCAAAAATTAAGAATTTTTAAATCTGTAAAAGAAACTTGTCTTTGAAAAAAATCTTGATTCTGGCTCATAACACAAGATATCGTTGTTTAGAGATGCCTACAAGAAACAACCTCTTCACTTGGAAAGCCACATCCTACTTGCTTTACATTATATGTAAAGCAAGTAGAATGTGGCTTGTCAAAGTGTGCAGAACTGTGTGGTGAGGCAATTCTTGCAAAGTTTAAGCCTACATGGCAACGATTTAAATGTGTGGTAGATCATAAAGGTTATGGAGATCGATTGAAAACTGATGTTGTTGATTTTGAAATTAAAAGATTAAAATACTTAATGTTATATAGAAATAATACGTAGTATTATACTTATCCCATCTTTGTTGGGTTATCAAGAAAAACTCTTTTTTTAATTTAGTTTACTGACGTAAACTAAATTAAAATTTCAAATTTGATCAAAAAATACTTATTCAAAAAATATGCATTCTGGTTCTGTTATGTTGCATTAACAACCCCCCTCATATGAATCAATTAGAAGGGTCACTCTTAGCAAATGCAACTTTAAGTATGTTTAAATCATGTTAGTATAATAAGAACAATACTTTATCATTAAAAATTTCCCAGACGACATTGCATCAAACCTAATATGCTCTCTGATCCACAGTAAAAATAATAGAATTAAAAAAGCTAATAGAATAAACTGCTCCACGCTTTGCTTTGAATAAATTTTTTAAATAAAAATTTACAATTTTGTTGTGAATTTTTTTATTTTATTTTAGGTCATGCAGCTGGCATCAGCAAAAAAGCAATTAAACTGAGACCAATCGCTGTCATTAAAGGATAAAATTGTTTTTATTTTTTATAACGTTTCTTAAAATAATGTTAAAAAAGAAACTTTCTTTGTTTTTATTAGCTATATACTCTTCAGCCAATCACATTTTACTCAATTAAATTTTATCTTTATCAAAATTTTTATTCTACAGTGAACAACAAATTTCTTTATAAACAATAAAGATAAATTTATGGTATCAAATAGAAATTTTATTTATGAAAAACTCTTTATTTTGTTATAAATTTTTTTTGTTTAACTGTTTACTTTTAAATAAGAATTTTTTTGTTAACAACACTGATGACCTGATTTTTTGTTAACAACACTGATGATCTGATTTTTTGTTAACAACGCTGATGATATGATTATATGTTTACAACACTGATGACCTGATTTTTTGTTAGCAACACTGATGATCTGATTTTTTGTTAACAACACTGATGATCTGATTTTTTGTTAACAACGCTGATGATATGATTATATGTTTACAACACTGATTACCTGATTTTTTGTTAGCAACACTGATGATCTGATTTTTTGTTAACAACACTGATGATCTGATTTTTTGTTAACAACACTGATGATCTGATTTTTAAAATCTTATATTTGTTTGACTGTTATTTTACAGTTACAGTTACAGTTATTTATATTCATTAAACAATTTTTGTAATTTTTGTAGATGCTATTGTATATGCATGTTAGTAGTAAATCAAAAAGTATATCTAAGATATTGTGAAAAAACATTTAAACAACAAGGTAACTTGTTATCTAGTTAAAAAATAAGATTTTTTCAAATTTTTTTACAGTACCCTAATTTTGTTGTTTGACATTTTTTATTACAATATTTGAATAAATTTGATAGTTATATTTAATATTTTAATTTATATAGTAATTAAGATGTTCAATAGCATTTATTTATTAAACTATTTTAAAAATATACAATTATTTTTGGGTTTAGAAAAAAAAAGAAGTTATTAAGAAATAAAATCAATGATTAGTTTTTGTGTTGTAATATTATATGGGTTACTATAGAAATTACATTTTTTAAACTAAATATCTTATAAATTAAAAAAAAAAATCTATGTTGCAAACTTTGTTTTTTTGTTTTTTGTGTGCATTAAATGATTTATCCAAAACTTTGTTTTATGAAAATGATAAACTCAAATTTTGTGTTTATTTATGTATTTTTAATTTTAAATCTAGATATATAATATTATTACAATAATCTATGAAATAATGATATCTATAATAAACTATGATGGATGATATTTAAATGATGTAGTAAAACAGTTGTGGTAAAATGAGTTTTTTTATCCCCACTGTTTATGGCGACATTCCTAAGAAACGTAGTGGTCATGCTGCTGTTTTTTTTAATGGTCAGTTAATTGTTTTTGGCGGTTATGGAGATTCTGACGAAGAAGATATTGGGCAGCAGCTCTGCAAAAACATTTGGTCATACAATATAGAAATATCACAATGGACTAAGCACGTTACAAAAGGTATTGATTTTTATAAGTTTTCTTTTGAATAGGTTTTATATGCACCTTCTATGACATAACGCTTTAAGTTGTATTTTTTAGGTAAACATCCTGGAAAATCTACTGGGTCCAGTGCAATTTTGTTAGGGCATAATGTGTATTTATTTGGAGGTTTTTACAAGCAATCTGGTCAAACAAACAAACTTTATTGTTTGGATTTAACCTCTTTAACATGGTCAGAGCTCACTGAGCAAGTTCAAGGAGATGGGCCATCGGCAAAAGATAAAATGTGCAGTTGGAAAATAGACAATAAGATTATTTATTTTGGAGGTTTCGGGGCTCCCCCAAATAATATATCACAAATGAAGGGGGAATTTTATTTTGAAGAATTTCCACAAGGTTTTTGTCGAGGATTCGGTTGGAATAACCATCTTCATATTTTAGAATGCGGAGATGTGTTGGAGTGGAAAGAGCCCAGTTGTATTGGTAACCGACCATCGCCTCGAGCTGCAGCTTCTTCGTCACAACTTGGTTATCGGGGTTATTTATTTGGCGGACGATTTAAAGAAGAACGACGAAATGATTTATTTACTTTAGATTTGCGAACCTATGAGTGGACTGAAATTAATATTTTTTCACAAAAACCACACGGTCGTTCATGGCATGCCATGGCCCCTATCAGCGATAATCATTTGTTTGTATATGGAGGATTTGATAATAATGGAAATGCTTTAAAGGATGTTTGGATTTTTGATTGTGAAAATAAAACTTGGAATGAAAAAGAGAATGCCTCTTCTTCTTTTGGAGTAGCGCTTGCTCCTCGAATGTGGCATACAGCATGTAATACAGATCAACCTGGTGAAATAATAGTTTTTGGTGGTTGTTCCAACTCAATCTTGAGTTACGAAACCTGTTTGCATACAAACTCTGTTGCATTTTTTAGATTTTCACCTTTGTCTTTGCAAAAAATGTGTACAGATTACGTAATTCAACATTATAACATATACAGAAAATCACTAGAGTTATTACCTAAAATGCTGCGCTGGGCTATCGACTATCGTTATCGTATGATACGTAACAATCCTCGTGGTAAATTAGTAAAAAATTGTACTAGTATGTGACTTTTTTGCACATATAATCACTGTAAAAAATTTTACATAAAAATCTTTCACATAAAAAGTTTATAATTTGTAAAGTAATGAGAATATGTTTTTGTTTGTTTTACTTTTACTTTTTTTAATATTATTTTTATTTGTAGATTTAAAATTTGATAAGGTTATTTAAAAATTAGGTGTTTTTATAAAACAATTTGAAAGTAATGTGATTTTGTTTCAATTCAACTGTTATCCTAGCATTTTGAAATACTTTATTTGTGTGTGACCCTAGAATTTTGTGATTTATTGTGCGATAGAGGAAAAAATATATTTATAATATTAAAATATATTTATATAATTCATCAAAATGTTTTTTAAATAGTGTAAAAAGAAAAAAATATTTGAAATTTTTATGTTGAATATCTGAGCTTCTATGTTGTATATAATGCATATTTATAATATGTATCATGTTAATATATAAATATATATTTTTTATGTTGTGTATAATGTATATTTATATTAAATATATATATATATATATATATATATATATATATATATATATATATATTATATATATATATATATAGATAGATAGATAGATAGATACATATTAGGATGGTCCAAATTTTACATATTATGTAAAATGTGCTATATATAATGAAATAATACTGAAAATTTAAAAAAATTTTAAAAATAGTTGTAATTTTATAAAAAAAAATTAAAATTATAATGATAATTTTATGTAAAATTTTTTTATTTTTAGTTAAAAAATGTCATTTGCAGTGAGATTTAAAATAATTATTTTTTCGGCAGTCATAGGCAGTGAGATTTAAAATAATAATTTTTTATAAAATGATGACTATTTTTTTAAATTATTATAAAATTTTGCTTCTTTTGAGACCCAACAACAACATGATATACTTTTGAACAGCATTTTTTCTTGATAATATTAGGGTACGTCTGATGTTTAGAGCCTACAGCTACCCCTAAAAATTTTTTTGTTTGAAAATTTTTTAATTCCTGTATTATATCAATGTTTAGAATACATTAGGGTTGTGGAGTCTGCATTTTAAATAATTAAAAAATTTGGACCACTGATATATATATATATATATATATATATATATATATATATATATATATATATATATATATATATATATATATATATATATACATATATATATATATATATATATATATATATATATATATATATATATATATATATATATATATATATTTGCATTCACTGTATAATATTCAATATATTTATTTGCAAGCAACCACTATTAAGTTGGGAGTTACTAGGAAAAAAAAAGAACAGAGTTATAGAGCAAGGAAACGGTTGACAGAAGACTTGAAAAGTTGAAGGTTGTATGAGTCACGAAAACATGAAGATGGGAGAGAGTTCCAAAGGATTGATGTGCGGGGAAAAAAACTAGATGAATAAAAGTTTTTAGAGCATACAGGGACAGATACAGTAAACGAATGAGACTTAGCTGAATGACGAGTAAAACGAGAATGAATTTTAGTTGATGGAATTAGAGATAATAACTCCTTTGAGCAGTGACCATGATAGTATTTTTAGAAATGAGAAAGAGATGCAACTTTACGACAATGGGAAAGAGGCTCAAGCTTAGCAGATAGTCCAGGTCCAACAACATTTACAATGCGTTTTAGGACCTTGTCAAGAAGAGAAAGTGAATCGTTAGAAGAACCAGCCCAAATATGACAACAGTATTCCATACAGGGACGAATAAGAGATTTGTAGAGTTAGAGAATGGAATCAGAAGTAAGGAAATGGCGAGCACGATAAAGAGATGCAACCTTAGCTAATTTAGCAATCGATTGTATATATGGTTTCCATGAAAGGTCAGTAGTAAGCGATAATCCAAGAAGACGTAAAGAGGAGGACTCAGTAAGAGGATTGCCATTCAATAATATAGGAATGTTGACCATATTACGGTAGTTGTTTGCAGTAAACAACTGGGTTTTGTTAGAGTTGAAATTCACAAGCCACTGTGAACCCCAATCTATTACTGAAGTGAGATCGGATTCAAGATCAGCTGCTTGTTCTAGGCGATCGAAAAGAGAAGACTTTTAGTCAAGACAGGAGTATAAAGTTGAGTCATCAGCAAAAAAAAGCTACTTTAGATGAAAGATTGTCAGGAAGATCGTTTATGTAGATAAGAAACAAAACAGGGCCCAGGATGGAACCTTGGGGAACCCCAGAAGTTACTGGAAATAAAAAAGAGTGTTAACCTTCAAGGATGACTTTAATAAACCGGTTAGAAAGAACTGATTTAATAATCTCAAAAACTTTCCCAGAAACACCATATATATGAAGCAAGCTTATGGAGAAGACCAGCATGCCAAACTTTGTCGAAAGCTTTAGATATGTCGAGAGCAATAGCCCTAGCCTCACCGCCTCCATCTAATGCACGATAAAATCTTTCAGTTACAGCAGTTAGCAAGTCGGCCGTAGAGCAAGAGGATCGAAAACCGTATTGATTGTCTGACAGTAGTTTATTTGACTCAAGATGAGATGTGAGGAATTTGTTGATCAAAGATTCAAAAACCTTGCTAATAACAGAAAGAAGACTGATCGGACGATAATTAGAGGGGTCAGAATTTTCTCCAGAGTTTTTGAATATTGGAACCACAGATGCCATTTTCCAACAAGCAGGAAAACAAGACTCAGTCAAACACTTGTTAAATAGTTTAGAGAGAATTGAAGAAAGTTCTGGAGAACAATTCTGCAAGACTGTGACAGGAATGTTGTCTGGACCACAAGCTGTAGATGAGTTTAATTGAGATATGACTTTAGCAACAGAAGCCGGAGTGATTTGAATGTCTAACAATGGGTCAACCTGTTTGACTGGAATGGAAGGAAGAGAATGTCCATAAGATTCGAGAGTGGAATTAGAAGAAAAGTTCTTTCCAAATAGTTCTGCCTTGGGAGAGGTAATAAGATCAGTCCCATAAATGAGAGATGGAATGTTAGATCTACCCTTGTTAATAATGCTGTTGAAGATTTTCCAAAAGTCTTTAGAGCCTAACTTCTGTGATAAGATGCGAGATTTAGTGAACTGAGAATAATGGAGTTTAGCATCAGAAAGCACTTTTTTGCATCGGTTTCTTGCAATAATAAATAGCCGTTTCTTCTCAAGAGAGTTGTTCTTTTGAAAAAGATAAGAACATAAGCTAGGGTCAATGTTGCTGAATTTTGCTGAATAATACTCTGATATTTTATTAATGGAATCTTTCTCCAATCAGTCTTCTTTCTGTTATTAGCAAGGTCTTTGAGTCTTTGATCAACAAATTCCAAAAACGGAAAATTAAAAGAAAAAAAATATATATATATTTTTTTTCTTTTAATTTTCCGTTTTTGTTACAATTAAATTCCGTAATATAATACACTTATTCTTTCAAAAATAAACCAGTTATAAATATAAAAAATCAAAGACAAAATAATAAGAGTTAGTTATACAAAAATAAATAAAAACGCGGGAAACTTGTAGAAGACCATTAAGTCTTATCATCAAGAACCGTTGTAATAGTTATGTTTTTACAATATTAAATTCCTATAATAGTGTTAAAAGCAAAACTTAATTAACTAAGGTAAATAGTGTTAAAACCAAAAACTTTTCAATGTAAAAAGACAAAAACAAAGAAACAAACAAAAAAAACAGCAGTTTTAAAAAAATCATTAATAAGATTTGTATACTTTGAAATATTCTTTTTTATTAGTTTTTGAAAGGAATTTATATTGTTTACACCTGGTAAATTACTATATTTTGCTAAGATTTTATTCCAGATATGCGGAGCACGATACATAATTTTAAATTGTTCTTGTTTAGTTTTGCGCAATGGTTCAATTAAGCCTGTTGTACGTAAAGAATATTTAATGTTAGGTTTTATTTCATAAAGATCATTAAAAATTAAGGGGCATTGTTGAAATTTACTTTTGTACATGAGACATAAAATTTTATAAACGTTTATCTCGAATAACGTTAAAATATTCATAATTTCGAACAGTGGTTTTGCATGTTCGTTTTTATTTTTAAAATTTATTATTCTTAAGATATGTTTTTGTTTTCGATAGAGTGTTTCAAGCTTGCTTTTAGATGTACTACAACACGCAATATTCGCGTAAATAAAACTGAAATAGATTTGTTTTAGATTATGCTTATTAAGTAAATCCCGTGACTGATATAGAACGTCAATACTTTTTGATATTTTGCTGCCAATATAGGCAATATGTTTATTCCAGGTAATATTTTCGTCAATGAGAACACCAAAAAATTTTGTCTAACTCGTTGTTCATTTGTACGAAGAGTTGAGGTATATACTATTGGTCTTCTATAAGTGTATAGACAAAGAACTTGATGCGTGCAATTTTTTTTCTTTTTCAAATCTTTGGGACACCCTTATGTGCATGCTACAATGCAGGACGAGTAACCTCGTGGTAATCGTTGCGGGTAAACTTTACATGGCCGACAACATGGGTTTTAAAGTGAACGGGCATAACCTTCAAGTTCTAAAAAAAGTCCTCTTTATCGAGAATTTTCTGAAGAAAAAAAATGAAAAAATAGTCTTTTAGAAAAAAATGTGTGTGTGTGACTTTAGCTCGCTAATTGTGTTGTGGTCTTTGACCCAAATTGGTAACTCCATTTTAAAAGTCCAGTAAATTTTGGTGAGTAGCTTTGGTGAGTTCCTCCATCTATTTGGTTTGGTTTTATCTATCATAGTCACTTATATTAACAACATAAAACGGTTATGATTTTTCTCAATTAACAAGAGAGATACAAAGTCATAATAAGTTAAGTATAGCAATACTTTTTTACTACGGTCTGAATACTTTGAGATATTCAAACCATTGCACAGTGGGTCAGAGGTGCCAATTTTCAGCCAAAACCTCTAAAATATATTTTAATTTTTTTTTTTTTTTATTACAAACGGTGTATTATATTGAAAAACAAATTATGCAAAAAAAAATTTTAGTTTTATAAAAACTTGGATTTTTATTGCATAATTTTGAAAAATTCCAATTTTTTAGCCTATAAAAAAAATTCCGTAAACTAGCCAGAGGCGGATTAAGAACATTCGGGACCCGGGGCTATTTTTTTCTGCAGTACTTTATTAGCCAAATTTATATAGCACGATTTGTAAGGGGAAGGTCTTCTTGAATGTTACGGGGCCCCTAAAATTTAAGGCCCCGGGGCCATAGCCCCCCTCCCTTAATTCGGCAATAAAATTAGAAACAAAAATATTATTTAAAGTTTTTTTTGAATCTAGAATAGTATAAAAAGTATACTATTCTAGATTCTTGCAATAATCTAGCAACACTAGATGGTAGAACCTTTATTATTACTATGCACAATAATAAAAAACTATAATGGGTTAAAATAGTTAATTTCTAGCCAAAACCTCATAATAAATTAAAACAAATAAAACTATGATTAAAAACTATATTAATATATTAAGATGTTGTTTTTATTTATATTGAAAAAAAAATCTTATATATAATTAAACATTTATTGCTAAACACGTACATTCATTGGCAAAAACATTTATTTCTAAGATATCATCAAAAACTCACAAAGAGCAAATGATGCTGGGCTCTTTCAACAGAGCAATTGCATCGGCAGGCAGAATAGCTTTTCTTGTACTGTTTGTTTTACGGTATTGAGCAATAAAAGGATCTGAATGGCATAAAAGGCGATGAAACACGTCCAAATTGGTTTTTTTTCTGTCACATTTTCTAGAGAAGCACTCCCTGTATTTTTTAAAGTACTTATTTGAGGCTTCTTGTGCTTCCTCAGACATCATGCCAAGAGGCAAGCTAAAAAATTCTATCACTAGATGTCCATGAATCAGAACTTTATGTAAAGTCTGTGACATAGGATACCATATATATAACTGTGTATACAACTCTGCAGTCTCAAAACAATATTTTTTAAATTTGTTAGGTTCAATATCAAATCCAGAAGACATCACTGATAATATTGAATGTAGTCTTCTGATAAGAACAGGACTAACACCCATTATTTCAGCAGACTTTTCAGCCTGCTGAAACACACGACGTGCAGTGTTCCCATCATTTGAGGTACCAGCACCCCCAGAGCATGGCTGGTCTACAACAAGACCCATCTCATTTTGGAATGCAACTTGTATTTTCTTCTTTCTGGTGGCAACTATAGCTTTATCATCTACACCTCTTGCTTGCCATTTCTGAATTGGAATCTTGTATGCAATATGTAGTAAACACTCAAAAAGCCTAATCCAGGCATGAAGTGTTGAGATGCCATTCTGCAGATTCTCATTTTTCACTTCTTTTTTTAAAACTATTGGCAGATCATTCATGAACTTTGGTGAGATGCCACAAACACTGCAACACTGAGTGGAAGTTGTAGCAGTGGAAATTATGGTCTGCACTTTCCCATCAATCATAGTGATATCTATGATATGATGTACATCTAATGTCTGTCCAGCAATTATCACTTTAGAAACTGGGAGTGTTTTGATGTCATTTTTAATTGACTCAAATTCTTCTAAGACTACTTCCTTTGTTTCTTTGATGTATTTAAACCGGACAGGTCTGCAAAAAATAGGCGACGAAGGTTTATGATTCCTCCAAACAAGCTGCCGCTTGGCATCTGTAAAAAAGTATAAGTCTAATGGCACTAAGCATGTAATAAATAAAGATACTTCATTGGCTAAACTCCTGCCAGCCTCATCTGTACTCGACTGCTTATACACTGACAGACCAGTTGCACCATCAAATCCTATTTTTGATCTAAGTGTAAGTTTTTTAAAGATTTTAAGGGAATCAGCAGTCAGCACTTCTATCTGAGAATCACAAAGTCGTTGTGATGTGTGCTGAAGTAGAGACTGCAACGGAATTTCTGCTGAGTAATCAGAGATTATAACATCATCTGGATAACATCTGTCTTTTGCACTCTTTAAATCATGGTATGTTGGATAAATAGCTGAATCTAGATCCAAAGCATTGTTGCGGAGAAGTTGGTATGTTGCCTTTGACAGATTAGCATCTAAGAAGAGTGCTAGTGCTTTGTCAGAAAAAAGACTTGCTTGAGGGGTATATAAAATACTTTTGACACTGATAGCCTCTGCATTTCTCCCATCTTTTTTTAATGACCTTGAAGCTGCATATAATATTTCGTTAGTAGAGTACATATGTATAATGTTAGAAACTTTTCTGTCCTTTGATCGTATTGAAGATTTGTTAAAAGGTGTTTCTGGTCTTCCACCATAATTTTTTTCAGGAGTAACAGCTTTTATTAGTTTAAAAGAAATAATAGCATCTAGCCAAGTAGCATATTTATTTTCAAATTGAGTATACTCCCTTTTTACAGTTGTCATTTTACGTTTGTATTGATGAACAAATGATGATAATGTTGGCTTTATATCTAAAAATGTGTTTGGTGAAACATTTTCCACATACTCAACCAGTTTACAAAGTAAATCATTTTTATTACAGTCAGTTTCTTTAATATAAATGTATAACTGTCTTCTATTCATCTAAAATTAAAAAGAACATCTATTAATATAAGAATAGATAATATAATAATATATATAATAATGTGTGTATATATATGTATATATATATATATATATATATATATATATATATATATATATATATATATATATATATATATATATATATATATATATATATATATATATATATATATATATATATGTATATATATATATATACATATATATATATATATATATATATATATATATATATATATATATATATATATATATATATATATATATACACATATATATATATACATATATATATATATATATATATATATATATATATATATATATATATATATATATATATATATATATATATATATAGAGAGAGAGAGAGAGAGAGAGAGAGAGAGAGAGAGAGTGAGAGAGGGAAAGAGAGAGAGAGTAGATTAAATGTACAAACAAAATAATGAGCATGTGTTTGTTAAAAACTAGGCAACCTACTGTAATATTTTATGCCCAATATGAACAGATATATACAAAAGGAATATATTGTCTAATAATATTTTTTTATTATTATTATTATTATATTTTCTTTCTTGTTATTATGTTCTCTTAAATATTCGCCAATAAATAGTATAGTCCGTCCGGACTATAAAAATTATATTAATGAGATAACAACACGGCCGGTTTATAAAAATTACAATTATTACATATTAAAATCATTGCTCACTCTAGACTGGCAAAAACTGGCAAAATATTTTGCTTGATAATAGTAGTACACATCAAGTACTTATGAAAACAGCTGCAACATATCTTTAATATTGCTTAATACACTACTATTTAAACACCAACAAAGAAAAAAAGAATTTACATAATTTAAAAAACAGCCTGTACAGTTAGGCATAAAAAAATACTGTTATATTTTTTATAATGATATTTTGAGGATAAATTATACATCTATATACAAATTCAAAAAATATAGCATAAAATTTTCCTACCTTTTAAAGCAGGAAGCATGTAAAAATAAACGGCAATATTTAGAAAAAATAATGAATAATTTTCAACATTGCTTGCTGACGGAACTGGAGTAGTTTGCGGCCAAGTATTTCTATTTAATCATAATCTATTATCATAAATAATATTATTTTCGTATATTAGACTTATTTAACCTATATTAAAAAAAAAAAAAAAAAAGTTTTTTTAAACTTTATGTTTTAGGTTTTGCCGACTTCTGACCCACTGTGCATTGCGAAGTATTCAGTATTTGTTTAACATTTTTGTATTATTTAACATTATTGTATTTATTGCAATGTATGTAAGTGGTCAGACAGTTATTGCCTTTTTTCTTTATTCTTATTACTATGCAAGCATGAAAAAGCTAGTTACGTGTGACCATAGTTATCAAAGCTTTATTAATTTTTTTAAGATTTCAGCAAAATAAACAGTTGGAATTAGACAGCGGATATTACTAGTTGAGTAAAAGTGGAGTGAAATTAAGTTAAAATTGTTGTGGACATATAGTTTGAAATTATTATACTAATGGTATGACTTATTATAGATGGTATGTAATTTTTTGATTAATTTATTGTTATTTTTTAAACTTAAGTGGCAAATCCATATTTACAAAAAAATTAATTTAAAATATTGGAAAGAGTTTAAAAACTTAAAAAAGTTTTTTTTTAATTGATAGATTGCCTCCTAAACCCAAATCCTCAGTTGATAAAGCAGCACTCCTTACATGTCCTACTTATTTGTCAGTCGATAAAAAATCAAAACATTCAGTTTTTATTTAAATTTTTTCAATTAAAGCCATATAAAAATTACTGACTTCAGTAGTTTTTATATGGCTTAACTTCTGCCTTGATTTCACTATTTAAAAAAAAACTTATTGTGGATCTTATTTCAAACAAAGTTTTTAAGGTAAGGATTCCTAACTGGAGTTTGTGTAAAAATCTTGTATTGTTTAAAAAAAAAAAAAAGAATCAAATGGAAAGGTGGATTCATTTATTTTCATACATTGTTGTTTAGTTATTAGCGTCCAGAAACTTTTATTTTGTTTGATTATTTTATCTTGAAAGAATTCGTATGTAGATTTTTTTAAAAAGTTTAAGTATATTGTGTTTTTTTTCCTTGGCATCTTTTTTAACATTTTTTGTATTGTTTTGGTTCTTTTTTTTTTTTTTTTTGATGTTGTTATGTAGTGATATCTTCTGATGCTTTCTTTTGTATTCTTTGAGCATGTTTATAATTATATTGCAGATAATTATATCAGTGAGTTCTTTAATTGTCTAATCTTTAACATCATTTCTGATCATATTAAGTTTTGATTAAATTATTATTACTAATTTTGTTATTTTAAATTATTAATTTTTTTTTTCCAGTGCAGTTGACACTACTTTGCGCAGGAAATGTCTTGTCTATTATTTAAGATGTTTGCTATAATGCATATAGCATAAAAGCCATTATAACATAAAAGAAAAAAATGCATAAGAATCAAAAATAGTTTCACATAACACTATTATTTCCTCTGTATATGATCACAAAATATACTAGTTTTAAGTATAAGTTTTGGAAATATAATCCATAAAATATATATTTGGTTAAAAGAGCGGTGTTAGCCAAGCAAAAAAAGTTTAAGTAAATGTAAAGATGTAGGAGACAGTGAAAATGTATTGATAATTTGTTATAATAAAATTTGTTTTTTTCAGCTGGCGCATATGTAGCACGCAAGATTAGTGCAGCTATTTCGCGATCCAGCTCAAAACAAGTTACTTTTGAAAGCACCTGTGGATTAAGTAATCAAAAATGCACAATGCAGTCATTAGAATCAGTTAAAAAACAACCTGATACAGAAAACGAAGATATTAAAGAACCTCAAAAAACATCAAAAGCTTTATTGCAAGATATTAGCAAGATTTCATAACTGAATTTAAATTTTTAAATTGTTTTCTATTGTAATTTTTTATGCAATATTATTTTATGAATACATTTTATTTAACATTTAAAAATCGATGAAATGTATGATTTATTAGATATATTGCATACTGTAATAACGCATACTTTAAAAAAATATTTAATTTAATAATATTTTGGTTTAATTATTTTTGTATAGTTTTTGAAACTGTATTTATATATAGTTGAATTAGGTTCACATCACAGCATTATTAACTTTACAAGTTGAGTATATTTAACATCACACAAATATGTTATTATCATTAGCATCGTGCAGGGCCGCTGAGAGGGGGGGGGCGAAAGGGACAGTTTGTCCCGGGCGGCAGATATCCAAAGGGCGCCAAATGAAAAGAAGGTACCTGAAAATAAAAAAATTCCTTCATCTATAATATAGGGAAATTTTTTAAAATAAGAGTGCCAATCAGGCTTGCTGTCCTAGGTGGTGTGACGGCTCTCAGCGGTTCTAGTTAAATAAGCATCTAAGTATCATAAACTAGTAAGGGTATGTAGTTCAAACTAGGATGCTAATGGTTGCTTGGTGGTTTTTTCAAACTCTCAATTTTATTAGCATTTTTTAAACATTTTTTTTTTAACTACACATTAAAATGAATATGTACAGAAGTTTAATATTAATACAATTTAAAAGCTATTGAATTTCATAAAATAAGTAAGAAACTAAGTAAAAACTAAAAAAGAAATTAACAAGGAATTAAACAAAAATTAACAAATCTATCAAAAGTCTGTTTCTGTGGTCATTCAAAAAATGTAAAAAAATTAAATCAAATTATTTTGTCTTAGATCGTCCGTAAATTACGTAATGCTTTCACAATGAAAAAAAATTAAGACCACGCGAAAACTTAATTATAATAAAAAATCAAAGCAGCTTATTTAAGTCATGTCATAAGCATGTCATTAGCATGTCATAAGCAGTCTTTAGATTAAATATGTAACCAGGTTAATGGGGAATGTTGCTTACCTGCATAAAAATCGCTGCGTAAAAGAGCATTTATCTCCTACTTCTGTTTTTTAAATGCAATTTGCGTTGAGTAATTTATAGAAAAATTATTAATTTTTTTTTTTAGCAGATATAAACAAAATGATCGCATCAAAACTTTGCATTTTTTTCTGTACAGAATTAATTGAATAAACCTTTATACTTTTAAAAATACCTTGCAAGATAAAATTCAGGTATCGAAACCAGAAGGGTCGTTAGGAGGGCAGGGGCCATGGACTCTTGATTATTAAAGTTGTGTATTTCAAGTTATCGTTGCAAATAAAGAATATTTTCTTTTCTTCAGACCTTACAAGAAACTTATTATTTTTGGTTGATTCGCTGGTTAAAACTAAAAACTCAAACAATAATTTCTAAAAAATACTGGAATGATTTGTATAATAGTTCTATATTTTTATTTAGTATTTTAACAAATAGTATACTTGAGAAAAATGCCAAACCAAAAAAGATCTCATTAAAAAAAAAAACACTTTTTTTTTGCATACTCTGCATAAATTTTTTTAACTGATAAAGTAATCCAAATCTTCCAAAATATAAATTTTTTGATGCAAAAAATAAATTGATTTTTTGATGCAAAAAATAAATTGATTTTTTGATGCAAAAAATAAATTGATTTTTTGATGCAAAAAATAAATTGATTTTTTGATGCTAAAAAACTTTAAGGAAACCTGTAAGGTATAAAAATTATTTGTTTTCCTTCTTTGCTTTATTTCTCTATAATCCAACTCAAAATTTGCTACACGAGATCAGAGATGTTTTTGTCTTATTTGCCAAGCTATATGAAAAAAGCGCACATTTTTGCTTAGTGTGCGCCACACTAAGCGAAACTTCCACTAAGTGGAACTTTTTTACATTTTTACAATTTTACTTACATTTCTTTATGATTTTTTCAATATTAACTTTTTAAATATTTATTTTAGTAATTCCTACCCAGCAAACATTTAGACTAAAAAAGACGTCTTAAATATGTCTTTTATACGTATTAGACGTTTTTTATACATCTAAAAGACGTCTTTTTTAGTCTAAATGTTTGCTGGGTAATTTAAAAAAGTTAATTAAAAGTTTTTTCAATTTTGCTTTTTAAATAGGGGGAATTTCGGGGTCAAAAAAACACGTGTTTTCAATAAATTTTTTAACCGCTTATAATAAAAATTAAACTTAGGCATATTAATTATATATTTTCAACTTAATAATATATTAAATTGATTAAAAACCAAGAAAAGTCAATAAAGTTATTTCATAACAGTTTTTTCAGTTTTATTCAGTTACTTGATACACATTTTATGAAACAAATTAACTTTTTATTAGCAAACAAATTTTTCTGGCTACCTCTGTAGTAAGTAAGTATCTTTGTAGTAAGTAAATACCTCTTCAGTTCATTTTTAAGGGTGTAAGCTGTTTAGAAAACCTTTAAGAAAAAATTTTCTTTTACAACTTTTGTATTTATTGGTTAACTAAATTAATTCGGAAAAGAAGAAAAAAATTCCAGCTTTCTAAACATTAACATTTGTTTTTAATTTATGCACAAAATTAAATACATTATTTCCTAGCAAAAACTATTATAAAATATGATTGTTGGAATAATAACCTACTTCCCTTTTTAGTAAGAGTGCACCATATAAAAGCTAAAGCGATATGTACCATTTTTTGCAAAGGTCTTACTTATCAGTGTAACCAAAATACTTTTAGTAACAACTTTAAGCAGCTTGCTGTAAAAATATGTTCAGAGTTCGTTTTGAACCTCGATCTCCTGTTTCTAAAGCAAACGCTCTAACTACTGCACCACTGCCGCAAAATAATTATATATTTTCTTTACTATAGAGAGCTCAAGAACTCGGCAGCAAAATTGTGAATTGTAGAGCCAAACTTTGAATCAAAGTTCAAAATGTTTGGGAGGCTAAAAAACTTTTAAAAGACAGTAGTGTAATACAACAGACCCTGGTTGCAGTATTTAAGAACCTTCCAGAAAATTAAAAAATGTCAAACAAGTCTTTAGCCTTTGTTTTTAAAATCATTTCATGTGATATGAAAATAGCTAATATTTATCCCTGCACTCGGTGTAAAGTTAAATTCAAATATCTATCCAATTTTGGTCTTTCTTTCAGACTTGAATTTCTCGTGAAATGTTTTCAAGTTTTTAAGAAGCCTGGCAATGTCCTTAAAAAAGCTAAGACGTTTAAAAATGTTGTCCATAAGCCAATCATTTGTGGACCACCCAACTCACTTATTTTAGAACTGATCCTGCCAATAGAACTTCAATATTTTCTGTTGCAAACCATTTGTTCATTGCTTTAAATGATGTTTAGCTAGTAATTGAACAATAGTCTAGAGTAATTGAACAATAGACTAACACTCCTCGTTAAATAAGAGCTGTACAATGGCGGGAAGTTCGTTCGGGAAGTTCGAAAATGATTGACAAAAATTTCTCAACAATGTTGATCTTCTTCAATGCATGACTAAACATGGTTCTGCATTCCAGATTTTGGTTTTTATAGACACCTTTTAAAATTTCGAGTTGGTTATTTTAGCCTGTTTTATAATGACATGTCATTAATTTACTAAATGATGACTTTGCTATGAAAATTGAACACTTCGAAAAATCGTATTAAGATGCCTCTATTCTACCACGTCAAGCAATTTATTGATTTTAAAAAAGTCCTATTTGAAATATACAGTAAGCGAGCCATTCATCACATTTTCATCTCTCACTGATAATGGTTCAAAAGTGAAGTGGCTCACGCAGAATATAAAAAACAGTTCAAGATTGTGTTGTTGATTTTAACAGCAAACAGTTATGAAGATTATTTAGTAAAAATTTTGAATAGTAAAAAACTACTAATTCTGTTTTATATTCTAGATAATCAAGATTTAAAATTTTTTTTTGGATAGTCAAGATTTTGATTATGAAAAATATTTTGCACCTGAATTTTTCATAAAAACTATGCAGAATTACATGAATAAATAAAAAATTTTTTTAGGTATTTTTACATTTGCGAAATTTTTTCTTAATATATATATACATTATATCTTTTGAAAATCAGGCGTCCTAATTTATGAACAATAGAGAATATTTTTTTAAAAATTATTGTTTATCCCTATGGTTGGTTGAAATTAGGACAATATTTAATTATTTTTTAAACCATTTAATCAATTCTAATAATTTTTGATTTCCTTTGAACACCATTTAAATACATACAAGCATTTACAAATACTACTAATAAAAAATGACAATTATTTTTTTCAAGAACTCAAAAGTAATATTTAAAAGTGTATTTTCAGTTAAGTTTTTAATGTTAAATTCTTTGAATATCACTATGTATGGTTTATTTTACTAGTAATATGCTAGGCATTTAAACAATTCACAATCATTTAAAGTATAGATTTTTTGTTTCTAAATATCAAAACATGGCATATCTTACGTACCAGCCCTGAAAAACCTGTTATTGACTATGCTTAGTTTTTTTTTTGGGCTGTTAATGATTTAATTGAACAGCGGCGGCTAAAGAGCTTGCTCTAGAAACAAGATGTTTAATGTTGAATCAACATCGGTTATCGGTAAAGAAGACGGCTTGAAATTGGTACTTGTTTTTATGTTTTTAGGGGTACTTGTTTTTATGTTTTTATGTGACAAGATTGTTAGATCTATTTGGACCGCTTTAACAACCGAAAGAAAAAATTAACCGAAATCAACCTATTTATTTTTCGGACGTAAACCGATAATATTTTACAGAAAATATTATCGGATTTGGCCATGAATAAAAGATAATAATTTATTCTCTGTTTAACCAAAATGTATCCTTCAGGATTGTTAACATCTAAGTTTACTTCTACACATGAAACCCGATTCAGCAAGATTATCACTGACTCCAGCTTGTGTTAGTGAGTTATCTCTGTTGATCACAGTGATTGCGTTTCTTATAGTAGATTTGTCAAAACACTTTCTTCTTTTTCTATTAATAAGTTCCGAATCTGGCATATTGGCGAGGATTTTGTTTGCATTATTTAAAACACAGCTATACGACAATCCCAAGGTTTAACTAACTTCTTTAACTACTTTTCCACTATCAAGTACACGTGTATGTCACGTAATGTTCAATAAATAAACGTTCAATAAATCAGTTGTTTAAGTAGTTCTTTTCCCGCCGATTCTCCATTATTAGGTATATAAATTAATTAATTATACCCAATAAAAACAAACAAAAAATTAATATAGATATATACTGAGATGCATCGCAATAAAATTTATATTTCCGCATAAAATAATTTATATTTCAGCACAAAATAGTTTATATTTCCGCATAACCCTGTAAATAGATCTTTTCATAAATACCTTTGACGGAGAACAGAGATTTTTCAAAGCGAGACTTGTCTAAATCAAAACAACACAGCGTTTAGTTATTATTTTGTAATAAAAAAAAGTCTCCCCGCGCTTCAACACTTTGAACTTTATCTAAGTCTTCCGTCAACCGTTTCTTTACTTTTTAACTTTATTCTTTGTTTTCTAGTAAATTCCCAACTTAATAGTGGTTGCCTGCAGCCTTGTTGGGTGTGAATTAGAATAATAATTAAAAAAAAAAGGATTTTTTACAATTACACTTACAGATGTTTGTAAACATGAAACGCTAAACAAATGTAACTTTTACATTTGAGTAATTTTAAATGACATTGTTATTACATACCTGTATGTAAATTTTTTATACTTCCTTATAAAAATATGTTAAGAAGACTCTTTCTTGCCATTACCTCGAGTTTAATAGCTGCCTTTCATCTCCGTGTCAAAACGGACGAAAAGGACTATTAACACTACTATTAAATTCAACATTAATATTAAGATTGACGACGAAAAATATAAAAATCTATTATTCTAGTAAAAATCATCACTGATGATCGTTATATAATATGAATAGACGCAATAGATGATTTAATAGTTTTGAATCATTTTATCATTTAGGATTAATTTAACTTACTAAACGCATCTTTTTATATAAAACTAGATTGTCATATCATATTAAAATTAGATGGTCATACTATAATAAAATGCAGAATATATATTTTTAATATTTTAAGTATTTTTCTTCAACCTCTCAACGCATTCAAATACAGCGTAAACTTTAACTGTTACTTTTGTTGTATTAAGTTCAAGTTGACTTTGTATCGAAACAGCATCATCCCCCAAATAAACACCTTTTGTTTCAGTTACATCTTCTTCTTGGATTAGAATAGGGGAACCGAGACTCTGATTGAGAAGCTGAGCTATCGATAACGCTTTACTGCGAGAGTTATGAACAGCATTTAAACTTGCTTGACGTCTAAAGACCGATTAAATAGATACACTTTATTTCCTTATTACTTAGCAAAGCAAAACACTTTAACTTACCGCAGTTCGGTCAACTTCCCTGTTGAATGGTAAAATAATGGATTTTTTGGAAAACTTATACGATCTCCGAGTTTTTCAACTAAAAAATTTAATGTATTTTCATATGTAAAAATATCGCAAAATTCAATTATAATTTCTGCTTGCATTGTATATAAATTGTTTTCTTTGGAATAAGATAACGTCTGGTGTGTGGTAACATCACTGGTATTGTTATTTCTTAAAGTTTGAAGTATGTAATCAATACGACGAGAAATACTTTGCTTAACCGCTTCAACCGTATCCTAATAAGAAATTTTTTAAAGTTAAAATTTCCTTTTAAGATTATTTAAAAATAATTTGAAATAATAAAAAATACAATCAGCAAAAATTTTTGATTTAAAACCTCCAGGAAAATCAATATCATTTTTTGTCGTTTGAGCTTACAGGTTCGTAGCTAACCCCATTTTAACATTTAACATTATGAATATTAATATTAACATTTAAATCTTCTTGCTTATTTCCAATTAGAATACTCATTTGAAATAAGTAAGAGCTTTAAATTTATAACATAAAAAGCCTTAAATTGTTACTTTTACCCAAGAGAGCAATAACTTCTTAAAATAAATTGTTTTATTATCTTTAACTAAATTTATACATACTGACAAATTTCAAAGTTCATACTATAATCCCTTAGTGTTATGATCATTTAAAGTTTAAACCTCATCATAATTTTAACACTAAGTTACGACTTAGTGTTAAAATTATGACATCAAAAGAAATTTTTAACTTTAAATGGTCATAAATTTTGGTTCTGGTTTAACTTGTTTAAATTGCAGATTTTTTTAATGCTTAAAAAAAATTACTCCCTGAGATTAAACGTAAGCCCCATTAAACTAATCCTGTTTAAAACCTTCTCTCATTTATCTACCACATTACATCATTAAGTGTTTATAACCACAACTAAACATTTGTTTAAAAATATTTATAATTAGAACTAAAAAAACTTTTTGATATATTTCAAGGTTTATTTTCTAATGCTTATCTAAAACCTTCAATATTAAACTTGCATTATTTATATTAAAAATTTTTTTAACAAAAAACAAACTAACCTTACTTGCATATAATTTAAGACAACTTTTAATGCGATCCGGTTTCATAACTGCCTCACCCACTTCATGTATTCGTATCTGTCTCGTACATTTTTTTCCTACATTTTCTTTACTTTCATCAGAATCATTTAAAGAAACGAACATTTGAGCAGGTTTAAGCATTTTAATTTTTATCTATCTTCAAACATTGTTTTTTTACAGTTTTTTATATTCTATTCAAAAATACTATTAATAATATATATATGTATATATATATATATATATATATATATATATATATATATATATATATATATGTATATATATCATATATATATCATATATATATCATATATACATCATATATATATCATATATATCATATATATATATATATATCATATATATATATATATATATATATATATATATATATATATATATATATATATATATATATATATATATATATATATATGTATATATATACATGTATACACATATACAGACTCGCAGGATTTTATTTCTTTGAACAGGTATGAGATAACAATTTTTTTTAAATGCTTTAATAATCTTTAAAAATAATATTTGAATTTTACTACTAGTTGAGGAAGTCGATTATTTGTCATTGACCTAAAATAATAAAATTATAATTTGATTTACACACACACACACACACACACACAGATATATATATATATATATATACATATATATATATATATATATATTATACACACACACACACACACACACACACACACACACACACACACACACACACACACACACACACACATACAAACACTCACACTACTTAAAGAATACGTACAGTGTATTTGTCCCACTTTTTTTCAGCATCATAAGGCTCCCACCGACTTGCAGGAAAAATATGTTTGTTTTTTTCGTACCAGCTGCGTAAACAAACTTTTCCAGCATGCGACTATAACATTAGAACAGATAAAAAACAATAGTTAAAACATAAAACTTTTTTTGAAGACATTTGCCTTTTAAGGCCAAGAAAATCTATAACCAAAGACTATTTTCACATACTTATTGTTACAACCCTATTTCTTAATTATATAACTCTGAAAGATAAACCTGACAAACTGGGAAACAAGTTTTGAATTAAATAATTTAAATACTAGAGTATGCTCCTCAAAATATGAAGTATGATGCACTTCAAAATATGTGGCATGATGTACTTCAAAATATGCACGTCAAAATACTCTGAACCCAATAATTAATGATTAACGATGTATTATATAAAAAATAATATATAAAATGGCAAAATTACTTACATTAATGGTTTTTTGATTTACAATTATGTTCCTTACAATGCCTTTTCACACGAGAAAAAGTAAATAAATTGTGTATTGTATTGATAATCATAAAATCAAATAGATTGTCCTAGATATTATTAGTTGCAAATCATTAAATTTATCTGTATGTATGAAGTATGATGTACTTCAAAATATGAGGCACGATGTACTTCAAAATATGCACGCCAAAATACTTTGAACCCGATAGCTAACTAACTGCATATTTTTTCTAACTTTAAGTCTATTTAAAATGAAATATAAAAAAAAAAACACTTTTGTAACTTAAGATATTAATTTTCTTTTTTAGGAATTGGCAGGCTGTACTTGTTACCTAATATTTCTAATTTTATATGGTAACCTGTGTCCTTTGTAACTTTTAAGTCATCAAGACCTAAATTTTTAGATATATACTAAAAGCCAGGTTAAAATAACCACTCAAGTATAACATAAATATTACTTAAGTCATTAAAAAAGTTCGTTGAATTTTTATTAGATCTATTAATTCCCAATAAGACAGGAATTAATTAAATATGTATCATCTAAAACAGTATTTAACTATGAACATTTTAAATACTTAAATTATTTATAATTAAATATGAACTATATATTAAAAAAAAAAAGTAGTAGCACAAACCATAACCTATGAATTGGTTTTAGTTCATGGTGACTAAGCACCAAAATATAGTACAGTAGCCCAGTGGGCTACTTTATTTAAAGATGTAAAGGAAAAGAGAGTCTCGAAGATGATCCTCGCTCATGACACCCACGTATACTGCTGAGAATATTGAACATTTGCAAGTTAATATTGAAAAAAATCATCATGCAACACATGATATAATCAACAAAAACATTCCTAATGCTCTTAAAAAACGAAAACTAACATCACATTAGATACCCCACCAATTAACTGATCAAAATCGCAAGAATAGAGTTGAGGCATGTAAGGAAAATTTAGCCCCTTTTAGAAACAGCTCATGGAGATTATTACAGGGGATAATTTGAGAGGATAATTTGAGCCCAAAAACATGTTCTACATATTCAAAATAACATGTATTGTTTATATGGATTATGTTGAAAGGGGAGACACCATTACTAGTCAATATTATGTAAGAAATTGTTTGAAACTTCTTATGTGCAAAATAAATGAGCAAAGACCTAAGACAGGAACTCAAAATTTTAAATTTCTCTATGATAACACTTGACCTCATGTAACTCAAACCGCCACAAACTATCTTAACCAAGGTGGAATTACAATAATTTGCCACCCACCATACTAACCAGACTTAGCTCCATCAGATTATTGGGTATGCAACTTAATAAAAAAAAAATCTTAAAAACGATACTGACGTTGAAAGTAAAAAAAAACAATCTCATAATGGTTAAACATAAACTACTTTAAAGTTTACTCAAAGAAGAAAAATAAAAAAAAGTATATAAAAAAAGAAGAGTATAGATTAATTTGTATAGATAATGATGGAAATTATTTTGAACATTTAATAAAATTAAATTAAAATTTGCTTTTTTTATTGTTATAGAGGAGTTCTACGAACATTCTTAATGACCCAAATATATACCTATCAGAACAATTATCACAGACATAAAGATTTTTTGCAATTTTTCAAATTCTTGAAACTGCATAACTGTCTTCATAATAATGTCTTCACTTTTAAACTTCTCAAACAAAAACAAAATTTTAAAATTAATTCTTAAATATTATACCTCGTCCTTACTAATAGAAGCATCTTGTGTTATGCGAATGTCTTCGTAAGCATCAAATGAAAATAATGGTCCGCTTTTGCCCCTTGCCTTGTTAACGATGAAATCATAGAATGTATAATGCTAGACAGAAAGTATATAATACTAATCAGAAAGTATAATGGTAAACAAATCACAAGAATTATAAGTTTATAATTATAATTAAGTTAAAAGTTTTTAAAAATTACAATTTTAAATTTAAACTTTAAAATTCTCATATGAACATAACATACAGGTACAATTACATAGATGATATATAATTTTATAACTGTATAACTACATTGATTTGAAGCATAATTTCATAATTACATAATTTAGCATAATTACATACATGAGGTATAATTAGATCTTCTTTGACATACATCAAACTAACTACATCAACAGGTCTATAATTAAAAAAAAATTTTTAAAATATTAAAAAACAAAAAGTTTATTTAAAATCAAAAAAATCTGAAACAAGGGGAAAAATATGCAAATAACAATTTTCAGTAAAACAAATGAGTAATTTAGTTACTACAGTAATCATAAATATACAGTTCAAATATTTGAAATAAAGTTCAGAATTATTTTCATTACTTTAACATTTTTTGTATACAACTGAATATAGATAACAAAAAGAATATAGATAACAAAAAAAAAATATATAACAATATGATAAAAATAATATTTTTAATTTTTAAAGTCTTTTAATGTTAAAAGATAGACATAATTTGTAGCAAACAACCTTGAAAAAATGATACCATATTTATTTTTATTGTAAAATTATTAGATGATTCACAGTAATTCTATAATGTGATTAAAAAGTCTTGATAAGAAAATAAGATTAAAAAAAATATATATTAATTAATTTATATCATCATTGCTAGAAACCAATAAAGAAAACATGACTAACACATTGTCAATTTTCTTTAGACCCAACAAAAGCAAATACATTAACTTATTTAAAACTGCACTGAAAAATTATTTCTTTGCTTTGCGAAGAGAGATTAAGTGGAAAAATAAACACTCAACATTCACAACTTACCAAGACCTAACATTATTGGCTAAAACTTTATTTCCTTTTTTAGCTAATATTTTCACTGAACAAAAAGTTTTGTTGAATTTTCTTCCCCTTTGTGGATTTATTGATTTATGCAAATAATTAATTCATGCTTAATAATTTTTACTTTAAGTGCATTTGTTATGGGCAGTTCAATAACAGAAACAGTCCAAAAGTATGGGATTACATCTAGATACAGCACTGAAATCCAAATTATTGAAATCCAAAATTATTAATTGGGGGAAAACTACTATTGTTTATGGAGCACCACATGTTGTTTTAATAAATATATATATATATATATATATATATATATATATATATATATATATATATATATATATATATATATATATATATATATATATATATATATATATATATATATATATATATATATATATATATATATATTGTTGTTGTATGATTTAGTATTAAAAATACAAAACTCTTGATCGTTGCAGAGTGCTCAATATTTATGAAATATTTAGTTTTTCAAAAACAGCGCTTTATACTTAAATATAGAAAAAACAACTTTAAATGAAACTTAAAGTTTCATGCCTATCGGCAATCATCAGCCATGCAGTACAAAATCAAAAATATAAAAAACCGTTTAAAAATTACAAACTACAGTAGAATGAGTTCTGACATCTTAGTACAAGGAGACATAATGGAAAACTAATCTCCGCTATCAAATAATGAAAGGAGAAATTTATTTTTGTGTCTACATTTTGAAACTACTTCGCCTCTTTTATTTAGCAGATTATCTTCTTTGTAAAATAATATTTCAAATTTCTCATTTAAACAAAGCTTACAAATTTTTGACGTAGGATAGTATGATTTACAGCATTTGATTATATTCCATTTGATTGAAGATGTAAAATTGTTATCTTTTAAATCCCATACTTCCTTAGATAACTCCGTGTCGTTCTTGTACTTTTTTATGTTGAAGGATTTTAGATGGTTTGCATAACGTAGCTTAAAAGAGGTTTCGCTTATCCCAATGTATACCTTATCTTTGTATTGAGGTTTGTTTGAGCTTACGGTGGCTTGGTAAACAATGTTGTCAGACAAGCAATTGTTGTTCAGTGGACAAAGAGTTTTTTTAATGCAATTGCAGGCTTTTTCTGATAACTTTACATCACCATATATTAATCAGGATACCATAGCAATCGAGATACGATTATTTGATATAACATCTGGCTTTGTAAGCGAACAAAATCTCGCTTGTAAGCGGGAGGCTCGGAGTTTGACATAGAGTCGAAATCCGAATCTCTCGCTTACAAAGCGAGCGCTCTTACCAATCACCACTAACGCATAATTACTACACTAAATATTGGAATAATGCTTTGAAATTTTAAAGATTTATTTTTTCCACCAATCAACAACATTTAAACATCTAGCCACTTATTAAAATTTTTTTTTTTGAACTGGTCTAATATATATATATATATATATATATATATATATATATATATATATATATATATATATATATATATATATATATATATATATATATATATATATATATTTATATATAAATTTATATATATATATATATATATATATATATATATATATATATATATATATATATATATATATATATATATATATATATATATATATATATATATATATATATATATATATATATAAGTTATAGAAATGACGCTGTAACTTATAAGAGTTGAATCTGAAATTACGTAGAATATTAGTTTATAACAGCCAAAAAATTCTACAAGGAATTAAAATTAAGTTAAAATTTAAAGTATTTATCAATGTGGTTCTTAAATTGATTTATGTTTGACTTAATGATTTTTTGTGTTAGTACATTCCAGTCATATACAACTCTATTAGTGAAATTTTTTTTGTCTTATTGTGTTAAACTTGTAGTTACTTTGTGTTTTTATTGATTCCTTTTGCATTTTTAATTTATGACCTCTTGCTCGACCATTAGTATTAAAATATTCAATTCGGTCAATTCATTTTACTGATTTGAATATTTGGATTAAGTAACACCACCTTCTTCTGTTTTTTAATGAAGGCAATTTTAGTTTTAAATTTCTTTCTTCATGACCATAACTAACTAGACATGATATTTTGGTTGCTCTAATTTGAACTTTTTCAAGTCTATAAATTTCTCCTTTCCAATGGGGGTTCCAAATAACTGCTCCAAACTTGAGATGGGGACGAACTAATAATTTGTATAATAAGCTAACAATACTTTCATCTATATATTCAAATGCATGTTTAATTCTTCCTTTAATTTGTTTATTTGCTTTACTAATTGCATAACATATATTGGTGACTCTAATCAAAATTATTCGTGATAAAAATACCAAGATCTTTTTCAACTTTAACATCAATTTTATATTTCTATTTAGGGTTGTTATATCTGAAATGCATTACTTTACATTTTTACAAGTTAAATTTTATTTACCAGTCCTCTGTTCTTTTAAAATATTGAGATTGTTTTGTAAACTGATGCTATCTGATTTAATGACTGTTAATAGTTTAGTATTAGTCAGCAAATAGTTTGCCTTCATTTACGATTTTAATTAATAAATCGTTTATAAATACCACAAAGAATAGCGGACCTAAAACTGAGGCTTGAGGGACTCTACTATCTATTTTTTCCTATTCTGACACAATTTCTCCAACTATTACTCCTTGCAATCTTTGGCTTAAAAAACTTTTACACCACAATAATAATTTGTTTCCAGAGCCAATCAAGCTTGACTAATAACCTTAAAAATAAAACAATAGCTAATAAATACATTTAATTGTAGAAATAAAAAAATATAAAAATAGCTAACAAATATATTTTCATTGTAGAAATAAAAAAATATGGCAAGTCTTCTGAGAAAAAGTGTGCGATGCCTTATTTGACCACACATATAATATTTTGTTTTGACATGTCACTTTTCAAGTTTTGATAATTTACATGTTTTAAAAGTGAAAAAAACAAATTCAAGGGAAAATTATAAAAATAAACTGAAAAGAGAAACAAAATCTTTACCAATGATAAAACAAATAAAAGATAAACCAGAAAAAAAAAAGGAAAAAATAAAATTAATGTATTTTTTAATTTTTTTGTAATTTAAAAGAGTTTCTCTTCAACGAATTTAGAAAAAACCGAAGTTTCAAAGTTATTTAAATCTAATTTAAAACTTAATTATTAAAAAATTTAAAACTTTGATAATTTCTAATGTCTACTAAGTAAAACAGAAAAAAAAACTGTTTAAAAGATTTGAACCTACATCTAATACTAAACTAACAGTTGCGTCTGACATAAATAACATTAAATACCCCTAAGCGCTACTCTGACATTGTGATATATGAAAAACTACTGATTTAAAGTATTGTGACACTTTAAATTAAAAAAATTATTAATTTTGAACTATTAAATGATTCTTAATTAAAAATGTTATGACTTTATTTTTACTGGTTTATTTGTTTTATTATTTGTTAAGATTTTGTTTATATTAAATTTTTTCTTCAGTTTAGCTTGGTTTTTTAAACACACTTTTAAAACATGCAAATTAGCAAAACATGCAAAGTACCTTGGCCAAGTTGTCGAAACAAAATATGTGCAGTCAGAAAAGGCCTATCCTTTATATAATATGATATAATGTGATGGTTTGGGTGTCATATGAATCGAAAACAAGCAAAAAAATTGACATTTATTGATAACAAAATGGATGCTTTGTGGCATATTTTGGACAGAAAAATTTGTGACAAAGCATATAGACACAAGGATCTAGCATATAGACACAAAGATATAGCATATAGACACAAGGAAGACTTAAAAAAATGAAACAACAAGAAATCCAAAATTTGATCAAACCAGCTGAAGCCAAAGGAGGTCTTGAAACCAATTTCAAAGAAATTTGATCAGTTTGACATTATTATTAACTGAAATATTTTTTTTCCATAGTAGCAACTTTTATTGAAAAGTTTTTTCTTTAAATCTTGATGAATACCATCAAGATTTAAAGAAAAAATATTGCTTTTTCTAATCTTTTGTTTAGATGGAAATTTTATTTAAAATTTACCTGTTGAGAAAATTTAGTCATAAAAATAAAAAATATTTTTTAACAGTTAATTTTTATTATATTATTGGTGCAAACATTTTTAATTGCATACTGTGACTATAAAATTTATTTAAATAAATTGTATTATGTGAAGTTTTATAACGATTTCCTAAATAAAATTATAACACAAGTAAAAATAGTGATAAATTAAAAAAAAAAAAATGTGCCAATTTTTTTTTAATTATTAACTTTATTTTTATACAAAAGCTTTTTTTCAAAACAAAAAAAAAAAGGGAAATAAAAAACCTTAGTTCTGTAAATTCTTGACGTAGATCTCTTAAACATTGCTGTAAAAATTTTTGAATAGTATCACCTTTCTTCATCTAAATTTAAAAAAAAGTAATTATATATATGTGTGTGTGTGTGTGTGTGTGTGTGTGTGTGTGTGTGTGTGTGTGTGTGTGTGTGTGTGTATGTGTGCAATTTTGTTCCCATTATATGTATTATATATAACACATAAATTTACTATTTGATATAATTGATTTAATTAAATATATTTTTTAAACAAATTAATTAAAAGATATTTTTAATATTTGATATTAAATTAAAGATAAAAAATAAATCAAAAGTTAAAGGAAACTTAAAAAGTCTTAAATATCAACTGCTAATTAATTTAGTAATAAAATAAAGTAAAAGCCTGAACAAAATGTAGAAAAAAATTTAATCAAATTAAAAATAACAGCAAATTTTAATTAAAAAAAAAAAAAATTAATTTCACTAAATGACCATAAATCCTTATTTAGCTAATTTTGTTTAGTTTTTTTTTTGCCAGCATCCCTTATCAATTAATTAAAAATGAAGTTCATTTGTTCCTTTTTTTCTATATATTAAAATAACTTACTAAGCATTTTTTTCGATGACCAGAACCATCCCAGTAACTATATGTAACTTCAACACTTTCAGCTTAAAAAATTATTGGTTAAAATTTATTAAAAATATAAATAATGTTTTACTTTAAAACACAAATTTAAAAAAAATAAAAACCTTTGATTTGTTCTTGTTTTTCAACCCATTCTTGTCTCAAACGCTCTCTCTCTTTATTTTCTTCTTCCTAATAAAATTATTTATAAACATATATTTAAACAACTTGTATTATGAAAAAGTTATTGACAACTAATTGCTAAATAAAAAATAACTTATAAAACTTAACTTTTAAAGGAGAAAAAATATAACAATAAAAAACCATCTAATCAACTAATAAAGCTGAAACTAAAAAATTTGTTGTTATTTTTATTTTCGGAATTCATTATTTAATAAATTAGTTAATTATTTTTTGTTTGGGCTTTATCTATATTTATATTTATTATTTAATAAATTAGTTTAAAAAAAAGACTAGTTGGTTTAAAAAGCAAAATACTTCTCTATCTTTGTCAGGTAAAAAAGATGTATCAACATCTGGATTTTTACCCAGCCTTCGTCCTGGTTTTATTTCTTCAAAATGAGCTAAATTTTTAGAAAATATAAAAATAACATGTTAAAAAAATCAATTTATTTTAAAAAGGTATAGACATAAATAAAATTATTTTTATTTATGTCTATAATTTCATCAATTTTTAATTGATGAAACTATAGACATAATTTAACAATTTTTTCATGGAATGGATAAAATGGATTTTCAGATTTCCACATAAAATTGAAGACTTTATTGGAGAGACTTAATTGGAGATTTTATTGGAGAGACTTAATTGGAGATTTTATTGGAGAGACTTAATTGGAGATTTTATATTTATAGCTCTTATCTTTACAAATAATATCAAAATGAAAATCAAAGATACAATGAAAATCCTTATATCAAAGATACAATGAAAATCCTTATATCAAAGATACAATGAAAATCCTTATATCAAAGATACAATTAAAATCCTTGTATCAAATATACAATGAAAATCCTTTTATCAAAGATACAATGAAAATCCTTATATCAAAGATAAAATGTAGATAAAATGTAAATCCTTTATATCAAATATCATAACATGTGATAGACATTATATGTAGCATATGTTTTCAGTATTTTTCAATATATATTTATATTGCATTAGAATAAACCATATAAACCACATAAATAAACAATTTAATTGTATTAAAATAAACCATATAAATGCATTGAACCATATAAAAATCCATATGAATAAACTATTTAAATGAACCATATAAACTAATGTCAAAAATGTTTTTATCCATTCATTTTGTACATTTTTAAAGTGTGATAACACTCTATCAAAAATAAAAGCATATTTATAAGCAGATTTATCAAAAATATAAGCATATTTTTAGCTGAATTATACCAATTAATCATCAAGAAATATGATAATAATAATAACTTTATTGCGGAAATTTAACAAAATAAAATATAAGAAAAATTTTAATTTTTGTAATGTTAAACAAGAGTGTGCTTTTAATATATTTTCCTAATCTTTTGATTTGATAATCAATTTGATTTGTTGGTATTTTCCATCAGTAGATGTCATAACATCTTTTTCTAAAGCAATTCAAATTCGTATGTTATAATTGTAATCTAAGATAGTATATTTTGGGTATATTGTACAAAAAGATTTTTCAAAGCTCATACACCTTAACACTAAAATACATTCTCCATTATGCTTTAGTGATGAACACATGTGCTTCATTTGGTCTCCTTTAAACCTTTACCCTTCCAACCGATGATAACACATTTAACTCATCACTGAAATGACCAAAGAATGTGTGTGGTTCATTAATGTAAAGCTATGCAAAGTGTCGGTAATTTTAATGGTACTTGCTTACCCTATTCTTAATTATTTTTAATGGTACTTGCTTGGCTTATTCTTAATTATTTTTAATGGTACTTGGCTAAAAGTAGTTTTATATCCATTATTATATCCAACATTACTTAAGTTTATCTTTACAGTTTCAGGACTTCTAATCATATTGTATTATTCCAGCAAGTTTTGAAGCATTTGATTTAGAATTATGTCTAAGTGTTCAAAAACATGATTAAAAAAATTTACTTGATGGGACTTAAAAAGATACTGTCCATTTTGAGATATTTTTAAGGTTTAAATTTAGTATTGTCTTACTCAAAGTGATTTTACTATCTTATTTGAATACATAAAAAATTTTACCCTTTTGAAGTTTAAAGCTCCTTGATCTATTAGGTCTTACAGTTTTAATAGTACAATTATATTTCTTCCCCAATTAAATCAAATAATATAATATATAATTATAATATAATATAATATAATACCATCATAATATAAACCATCACATTTTATTTTATATAAGTAAAAAAATGAATAAGTTAAATTAGGAACCAATAAGCAACTATCAAAAGAAAAACAATAGTGAAGAGTGAAGAACAACAATAGTGAAGAGGATTCATCTTACTATTGCCATTCTTTAACTTCATTCTACTGAAAAAAAAAAGTTCAAGAGAATAAAAGTAAAAGAAAATAAAAACTGTAACTTCAGTTTATCATTAAAAAAGAAATATACTTTCATTCTCATCTTCTTCTTCTTCCTCTAAGCCAAATGATAACTTTGAACGCTTCTCTGTCTTTTCTTGCTCCTTTTTCTTTCTTTTCCTTTCTTTTTCACTAATAAATTAAAAAAAATTAACTGGTCATACATACTCCAGTCATGACTTTAAAATATTGCTATATATTATATTGCTTATAATATAGCAGGTGAGATTTTTAAGTCCTAGTATATTATTTAGAGAAAAGAAAACTCCTTATTTTATATAAAACCCCTTATTTGATTGTGGGTTTATTTTTGTGGGAGAAAAAGCTTGTAAATTTGAATGGTAGTTTTCCACAAAAAAAAAAAAACTCTATACTTTGATTAAAAAATTTCTTAAATATTTGTATTTGTATTTGATTGAAATCTATTTGATATGGTGATTTACTCAAAATAAAAGATTACCCAAATACAAAAATATTTGTATTTGTATTTGGAAAATGTTGTTTACATATATTTTAGTTGAATTTGTATTTGGAAGTCCAAAATGAGAGTATTTGTATTTGACAGTACATTTTTGTATTTAAATAAAAAAAATGGCATTATGGAAACATGTCCAAACCACAAAAGTGAAGAACTATGGACATTAAACAACAACAAAAAAACATAGTCAGACCTTAATAAACTAAATCAAGGTGTAAATAAGAGAAAAATATAGCGGTTGTAATAAATTTAGTGAAAATTAATATCAATTTCTAAAACCTAAATTTTCTAAAACTGTTAAAATTTCTAAAAAAAGAAATTTTAACAGTTTCATTGGCTGTTTATTGGTAGAGTATACATCATTATAATAACTTTATTATAACAAACACTATTAATCTACTTCTGTCTTAAGTGGAAAAATGAGTGTTCTACTCATAAGGCTTCACTCAGATTTGAGTTTGCAATTAATTAGCAGAAAATAAATCCAGCACTGAATTATATAGACAAACTTGCTATTTGAGTTGCTATTTGAGTCTGATATTCCCTTGAATCTGACAAAAAAGTTGCCACAAATATCATGTCTTGAACATAATGATGTTGAGTATAATATAATACTTAAAATCAAATTGTTTAATTAAAAACAATTTTAATTCTTGTATCTTCAGATAAGAATATTATTTTGGAATAAAACCTTTATCAAGAGGTCTTCATTTTATGAGTTCATAACAATTTATTCAACATAAAAAGAAAAAAAAAGTTAATGGAGAATGTCAAAGATTTTAAAACCAAAGAGGCTTGATCTTGATCATAATACACCAAGTTTCAAAAGAATGAAGCGAAAATTTGAGAGTTTTATTCAGGATTGCGGAGAGGATGCTCCAGACAAATTTCGCTTCATTTCATCATTAATTTTGTTTAATTAATCATCCAATGTTTATTTATTCCAATTATTATTATCCAATTATTATTATCCAATTATTATTATCCAATTATTATTACATTTAAGAGTGTGGTTCCTATGAAAGTATTATTGAAACCTTGGAAAATTTATATATAAAAACCCCTAGTAAAATTTTTGCAAGGCATCAATTACTTAAAAGACATCAGGTAAATCTTTAGAGGATTTTTTTCAGGAACTCAGCAAAATTTGTAATTTGTAATGGATGTTTCAGCTGAACAATGTTTTTATTTCTGGTATAACTTCAAATTACATTTGCCAATGTTAAATTTAATTTTAAATAAAATTAAAATTAATGTTAAATCGTTTCTAATCAATAGTGAAGCATTTGAAGCATTTCAATTACTTATGCAAGAACTTTACACTGCTACTTTGAGTTCTATCAATGAGAGTGTACCTTTTGTTGTTGAATGTGATGTATCAGAGGTAATAGTATCAGCTATTTTAAATTAAAATGGTTGTCCAGTTGTTTTCATGTCTTGAACATTAAACATAAGTGAAATTAATTTCCCAGCAGTAAAAATTTGGCTAATATTGAATCTATTTGAAAATGGCCACATTTATTGTTAAAAAATCAATTCTAGTTTATTACTGATCAGCGTTCTTTAGCTTTCATGTTTGGTAATTGAAAGAAAACAAAGATTAAAAATAGAAAAATTCAGAGCTGGAAGATGGAGAGCAACATTTAGATAAACTAACTTGTCCAAGGAAGCGATAACATCCTGATGAACTTACACATGATTTTTGTGCCACAACTCAACCTCAAACAACAAAGTGATACAAATAAATATCTATGTTATCCAGGAGTCACTTATATGCTTCACTTTGTTAAATTTAAAAACTTACCTTTTTCTACAGAAGAGGTCAAGAAAGTTTGTTCCAACTGCCATAATTGCTCAAAATTAAAACTAAAGTTTTATCAATCTGCAAATGTCAGTGAATTAATTAAATTTATATGTCCAATGGACCATCTCAGTATAGACTTTAAAGGACCATTAGGGTTACTGATGAATATCCACTTGCTATATTATGTTCAGATATTAGTTCAATAATGGTTGTGAAATGTTTAGATCAAATATTCTGCTGTTTTCCAACTGATTTCCAACTGTTTTTCAGCATTCATTCATTCTATTCATTCATTCTGAAAGAAACTGTTTATTCATTCTGAAAGAGACTCCCCATTTATGTCTAATAAATTAAAATCTTATCTTACACAGAAAGAAGTTACAACAAGTAATTAAAGTGGTGAATGTTAAAAAGGTGGAAATCCAACTTTGTAAACTTTTGGGAAACTATTGCATTTTCTCCTGTAGTAAACTTTTGGTAATGGTTTAATAATTTTTTTTTGAAGAGGGTTTTGTTGAGAATTTTTAAAGAGAAAAAAATTTACTACGAGGGAAAATGCAGTTTTTTCTAGTTTCCTGAAAATTTACATTATTAAACTTCCGCCCTTTTAACATTCACCGATTCAATTCTACTCATCCTATCAGTAATGGACAAGTTGAGAGATAAAATGGTTGGAAAAATATTTATTTGGCATTAAATACCCACAACCTGGATGTTAGAAAATAGGAAATTGTTCTTTCCAATGCCATTCACTCACTTTGTTTGCTGCTATTAACTTCAAATAACTTACACCCAATGAGAGATTATTCAGTTTTCCTCAGCACTCATCATATGGAACTTCATTACCTTTATGGTTAACTCCATAAAAACAAAAATAATAACCTTGTTGATAAAGTTGAATTAGTGAATATAAATCCAATATATGCTTTTATTCGTTACCTGTATGGACAAAAGTTGATTGTTTCACTTTAAGATCTTGTACTATATTCTGCCCCACAAGAAAAGCCTTATATTATCAATGAGAATAATATTAAGGAATCTATCAAAGATGTAACTGCAGAAGTAATTGATGTAAATAACGATGAATTCCATCACATGAAATTAAATCTGAAATAAAAGTTAGAGTAAATAACCCAATAAATTTTTGACTGACATTCTGCAAAGCTCTACTAGAACTTGCAAAGCTCCTGTAAAATATGATGACTTTATATTAAAATGATGGTTTTTTTTTAAATAATTTTTTAAATTTAATTTGTATTTAATAATTTAGTAATTAATTAAATAATAAATAAAAAAACAATATTCAAATGTTAAAATATAATCAATTGTTCTAATAAAACAACAATATATAAAAAACTGTTATACATCAAATAGTTGTTTTATAAAAACGAAGGATCTTAATTATATCATTATAAAAGTTCATTTATTTCTCTTCTTCTCTGTGAATGAAAATGTCATCGTATATAAAAATTTCTACAATTGCTTTATTAACAAGTAGGAAAATGACAAATCATTTAAAAAGACTTTAGTAATTAAATTTCTAATAGTTTAACTGTTGGATACTTGTAAAGTTGAGATTATAGTTTCTTGAAATGCCGCTGCAGTTTTTATTTTTCACTCGAGTTATTAGTATGAGCTTACTTAGTGAGTTTTTATTATGTTTTTGTTTTGGTTTTGTTTCTCGAATTTTATTCAGACTTTATTCTTTTATTCTCCATTTTTATCAGTTGTAGAATCGGATTTTTGTTAAGTTTATTCCAGATATAATCAAACCAATAATTTGCACGCAACGCAAAAAATAGAAGAAAAACAACCTTTGCAACCATCACGTTTCTTTATTCAAGCATCTTGACATTTACTTTAAAAATATTCCAATGAACGTAGCAATTTTGCAAGATCCATTTGAGTATTAATATATTGTCTCATTAAAATAATGGAATAAAATATAACATTGTTTATTGCACTTCTTTAGTTAATTCATTTATCTTGTGCTTTGTAAATCAAATTAAAATTTAAAAATTTAACCATGATATCTCTAAGCTATAAAGGTATAGTGACAATTATATTGAAATCTTTTTTTAAACAAACCTCAAACCAATGAGTTCTACTCTCTTACAATTGTTTTTCAACTGTTTAGACTAAAATTTTAATTATCACTATCGTTTCCTATCATATTCTTTTATGAACTCGTAATTGATCTTATATTCTTTTTCGAAAATTAGGAGAAAATATATGTTATGTTGATGTGATATGTAAGCTAAAAGTTGAGATAATCTAATTTTTATTTTCAGAGACTTAGTACAAATAGATTTTTTAAGATTCTGGTATATATACTTCTTAAATATATTCTTATATATTAAAGGCATGTATAAAAAAAGCATTATATGAATTAAAAAATATATATATTTTTTACATTTTTTAATGAATAGAACCAATAGAAGGGTATTAAATACAGTATTATTTTATATATCAGGTTTATTGCTGTAAAATATATTTAAATGTATTAAATATAGCGCAAATATTAAAACGCAAATAAAATATGAAGAAATCATATAGTATTATTTTTATTATACAAAAGAAATATATATAGATATATATTATTTATAATATTCATTTTAAATAAATTAGCCCAAAATATCTTCAATTTCAAAATTGAATGCAATTTCTTCACTTTCACTCGATTCAGGTGTTTCCCATTCATTTTCACTGCTTAAACTATCAAAATCAATGTCGTCTTTTTTGTCATTTACTATTGGTTGAATTATTGGATCCAAAATAGCTGTTTGGCATTTTGGTGAAAATATATCTGTAACCGGATTGATAACATTTTTTCTATCATTATCACTTAAATTTGGATCATTAATTTTAATGGCCAAGATAGCGTTAGGTGTTTTGTGGTTGATTCTGAGCCTTTGGTCAGACATAAGCATTGTCAGAAAACTTGTTCCACTGATGAGTTTGACTCAGATAAGCATATGATTAAACTTTCATAATTTTGGGTACTCGGTTCATCTGCTTTTTAAATGTATATATGGCGGGCTGGTTTACCAATGTAATTTACCTTTACAAAATTTTTTGAATTCTTTTAAATAATTTGTAATTAAAAATCCTGCCTTGTCCAAAACATCCTTATAATGGGCATAAAATTAAGTCGCGAAGCAATTTTTTTTTATACTGAATACAGATCATACACCATAGCTTTACAACAAATATTGTTCCATTTTCCACAATTGTTTTCTTTCCACAAACTTTATCTTTACTACAACTCAGATATGTTGCTAGGGCAACTCTGTTAGCGGAAGATGCCATTTTCTTTACTGAAACTTTACTTTTTAACTTGAAAATTTGAATAACTTGAAAATTTGTATAACTTGATAACTTTATATCAGATGCTCAATTTATACTATAAAAATCAATTAGCAGTCGGATGATTATAAATGAGATATTTGATTTTTGATAAGGAGTGATATTTTAGCTTATTAAATAAACTGATATAGTTACTCTGCCTTTTTCAAAAAAAACAACAGGAAGTTAATGCAGAAGTATGCAGGGAAAAATGCACTACTTTATACAATTTTAAAGTATGACAAACTAGTTTATCAATCAATTAAGCAAAATGTATGATTATACAAAAAAGAAAATGTCTTTAGTATCTAACAGTTCTTATTGTATAAGTTTACTAATTTCAAAAGAATACTGAAAACCCGGGCTATTATGTTAAATTCTTTTGCTACACATACATATTTTGTCTGCTTTTTAACATACTAATTATTTATCTTTTAACATAATGCAGAATAATACGAAACAGTTATGGCAGTTTAAAATAACTTGTTTGATTTTTATTTTTGAATTTTGCATCATAATATTCAAAATAATTTTTTTCATAATTTCTTTAGCATATCCTGAATGAAATAGTTTTGTTTTTCAACTAGTAAAACAAACAGTTTTACAAAATTACATCATTTGAGAAGTTTTTAAAAGAATAACTAAAAAACATTAAAATATTTAACTTTATTTTTATCAAAAACTTATATTTTGCATGGGCTTTTTTTTGCTTGTGTAAACTGATTTGCACAGGTGTGGGGGTGGGTGCCATTCCTGCCAAAGCCTATATATATATATATATATATATATTTTTTAATTCGGGTTCACTCCCACTATTAAGTTTGGAGTTACTAAAAAAAATGAACAGATTTATAGAGGAAAACGGTTGACAGAAGGCTTAAAGAGTTGAAGGTCAGAAAAACATGAAGATGGAAGATTTTTAAAGGGTTGAAGTATGGAGAAAAAAGCTAGACGAATAAAAGTTTTTGGAGCATGAAGGGTATAAGAATGAGACTTTGATGAATGACTAGTCAAGCGAGAATGAGTTTTAGTTGATGGAACTAGAGATAAAAGCTTCTTTGAGTAGTGGCCATGATAGTATTTTTAGAAAAGAGAAAGAGATGCAACATTACGACGATGGGAAAGAGGCTCAAGCTTAACAGATAGACAGGGTCCAAGGACGTTTACAATGCGTTTTTGGACCTTGTTTAGAAGAGAAAGAGCACGATTAGAAAAACCAGCCCAATTATGACATCAGTATTCCATACAGGGATGAATATGAGATTTGTAAAGGTAGAGAATGGAATCAGGAGTAAGAAAATGGCAAACAAGATAAAGAGAAGCAACCTTAGCAGATGCTAATTTAGCAATTGATTGTATATATGGTTACCATGAAAGGTCAGTAGTAAATTATAATCCAAGATGTTAAGAAGAGGACTCAGTGAGAGGGTTGCTATTTATTAATATAGGAACATCAACAGTAATATGATAGTTGTTTGCAGTAAATAACTGAGTTTTGTTGGAGTTAAAATTTACAATCCACTGTGAGCCCCAATCTATTACAGAAGTGAGGTCAGATTCAAGATCAGCTGCTTGTTCTAAGTGATCAAAAAGAGACACACAACAAGAGAACTGATAGCACTAAGTACAAAGGAAGAACTTAAGGTTCAGTTTAAAAACGGATATCAGCGATTCTGGATGCAAAACATCATACCCTTTATGTATGGTATTTTATGTTATGGTACCCTTTACTTATCTCGTATTATGGAATATAGCGAGAACATTTTTTATTTCCTTTCCATCCTAATACCTAGTGGAAAGAGGATTCAGCGTTGTTACCGATCTCTTAACAAAAAAAAGAAACAGACTGGACATCATTAGCCGAGGAGATTTAAGATTAAACCTTACGAAGTTGACGCTAAATGTTGATAATTTATTATTATAGCATCAGGTTTATCTTTCTCACTAAAAAAATTTACTTATGTATTATTTATTATTATTTACTTATGTATTATTTATTGCTAAGTTTATTTTTTGTGTTTATTTTATGTTACATATACAGATACACAATTTTATTTTGAGTATTTTTAATTTATTTGAGTATTAAATAAAAAATATATGTATAAAACTTAGCATGTGTTTTTACTTGACATTTTTAAAACCAAACTCCACTACAGCTAGAAATTAATGAAAAATTGATATCAGGTAAGTTGGGGGTCTACCTAAAACCGAAAAACATAGCAAGGGGTCTACGACACAAAAAAGTTTGTGAATCACTGCTTTAGATGTAAGGTTGTCAGGAAGATCATTAATGTAGATAAGAAACAAATTAGGACCATAGCTTGCATATTTTCCCCCAGCTACAAATTAGTTGTCATCTAAATTTCTTGCTAACCTATCTTGCTTTGTATATTTATATTTATAACTGACATCTCCACATTAAACCAACATAAAATTTATAACCAGGTATTTTTCTAAAGTTTAGTTTAATAATCAATTAAATCAATTAAATATAAACTATTAGAATGCTATCATAAAAAAAAGTGAAATTTCACAGAGTGTTTTAATAACACAAAAGTATGCGGTAGTGGTGTAGTGGTAGAGCGCTCGCTTCATAAACGAGTGGTTCCGAGTTCGATCCCCACCACGTCCCTGGTAGTACCGCGCTCAACTTGTTTCTCCGCGCAGCGGCCTTGTTCATCAAGGTTCGTGTTTCGGAGTTATAGAGTTGAGAGAGGGTTATAGCCACAAAATAAGTAGCCTCCTTGTCTGTAGTGGCCGTCTCGGCCTTGAGGAGGTGAATTAAAATAAAAAAAAAAAAAAAAAAAAAAGTTATTTTAAAAGTCAACATAAAAGGTTTACATCTCTTTAGCTTGTTTTTCGCTTGCAATTCTCTTTTCATGCTCTTGTACAACACTTTCTCGCTTTGCTTTCATCTGATCCAATGTCACAAGTCCTAAAAACAATGCTATCTTTAACCCAACAAAATAATTGTCAAAAAGCAGTTGAAACTTACTAAAACTATTCTGATCACAAAAAAGAATTTAAAACGAATATCTCCATTATAAGGGTGCATGTTTTTATAAAACAAATTCACTAAAACAATCAACTCCACTAAGCCGTATGAAATATAGTTGAATCTGTATTAAGTTAAACAAAACTGGAATTAAGTAAAAACAATAACTTTTTCTAATATAATCAATCAGTTCCTTTATCAAGGCATTAACGGATAAATATGTTCCACTGTGACTATACTCACTTATTCTAGTTACAAACCTGATATATAAAGAGAACATAGTAAGATGGGAACTGAACAAGACTGAGAATAAAATTATTTATGAACACACAGTTTCAAACAAATAAAGACATTAAATGATACATAAAACTTTAACGTTTAGAACAGTACAAACACAAAACACAATAATTTACTTAATATAGCAATTAATCTTGACCAGCAGAAATTCATTTTGGGAGGTCAAAACAGCATATTGGATCATTTGGACAATGGTTAACCACCTGTTAATTGGAATGGTTGTTGACCAACCGTTATTTTGGATGGTTGTTAACCACCTGTTATCTTGGACCATCATCCAATTAACAGGTGGTTATCCACTATCCAAAATAACAATTGGTCAACCACCATCCCAAATTAACAGGTGGTCAACCACTGTCCAAATGATCCAATTTGCTGTTTTGACCTCCCAAAATGAACTTCTGCTGGTCAAGTTTGATTGGTTAAAAAATCTGAATACTTACAACCAGGATGCATTTTGAAAATACTAAAATTTTGTAACACCTGGACTGAAATATTTTGAAAAAGTATATAAAATATTTTTGTTGTTTATGATAAGCTACTTTTAATTCACTTCGCTGATGCATATTATGCAAATATGACATCAACTTCTTCTTTTTTTTTTTTACGGCTTTAGTCTCTCTTCAGGGTTAAATCAATGGTTATTTTTTATCTACTTAATTTATTATTATTTCCTATTGTTAATTTAAAGCATTTTTTAAACTGTTTGAAAAAACAAAACAAAAAAAAACAACAACAAGAGAATTAAATACAAAATAACAAAGATTATAAAGTCTTCTTAAAATAATAGTGTGTTTTAAATCATTAGTGGGAAATTAATTACAAAAATCTTATTAAATTAAAACTTTTTTTATCTAAAATAATTATTAGCCAAGTTAGGATGCATATATTTGGGACCATATGGAGATTGTATTCATACTTTTATATAAAAAAAATATAAATGTATGTGTGAAAATAATAGTCTTATTTAAGACAATTAAGTAGTCTTTGTATATATATGCATGTGTACCAGGCTTTCACAAGAAGACGTACGATTTCACGTCTTTATATGACCACGCAAGTTACGCTATGACGGTTTGACCGCGGCTAATTCAAAAAACATTTTAGAAACGTGCTAAATAAAAAATATTCTAAAAAAAATTAATTACATTAAAACTTCTTAACAAATGTTTTTATATTAGCGAAACAATTTTAAATAAAGTAACAATTTACTGAAAAAAAGTTTTTTTTAAAATATAATTGACAGTTATATATATATTTTTAATTTAAAACATATAAATTGTTTAAGTGTTCATTTCTAAAATAAATCTTATTAAAAAATAAAAAATTGTTATCTTTTTATAAACGATGACATTCTACGACTACGAAAGTCTCTTTAACGAATTTAAATATAAGAATGATTAAAGTTAATGCATTTAAAAAGATAAACAAAATTTCGTTAAAAAAAAGTTTTAGAAAACCGTTACAATTTAATAAGTTTGATCTTAAATGCTTTTATATTATCGAAATGCTTTTAATGAAGTACAAAAAAAAACACTTCTAACTAATTTAAAAAAAAGTATTTATAAAATATTTTTTTATTTTATTTATATAACTATGTATTTTTTATGAGAAATATTTAACTTTTGAACATATTAAACAAATAAAAAATATATAAAAATGTTGAAACAAAGATTGAAAAGGTTTTAATGCGTAAATTAAATAGACTAAGCATTTTAGTTTGATGAGTTTTGTTTTAGTTGTGTTATATATATGTATTTATTTTTTGTGTTTTTGCTTTAACTAAGTATTTGTGAAAATACTTAAATTTTTTTTGTGTTGTCATATAAAGACATGAAATCGCACGTCTTCCTGTGAAAGCCTGGTGTGTATATATATATATATATATATATATATATATATATATATATATATATATATATATATATATATATATATATATATATATATATATATATATACACACACACTATATATCAAAATTATAAATTGTTTAACTGAAAGTGAAAACTGTTTATACTGTTATACCGTTGATTTACTAAGATTTAATTTTTCAGCTTTTATTTTAATTTTTCTAACTTCTTGAAGCTTCTTGAACCTTGAGTCTTAGCCTTCTTGAAGCAAAGTAAGTATTGCTGCCCTTTTTCTACACTCTTGGCTTACCTTCAGGCATATTTTTTTTGATATTTTGAATTTATACTAAAAAAAAATTACTCTTTTCACTGCAGCAATCTGGAAAAAAAATTTAAAAACTATACCACTCTGGATCACACAATGACCTCTTTACTTGCAAACTTGGATAAGTTCTTGGAGTTTGTTTCATTTCATTCTCCAAGAAATTTAAATTTTTATAAATAATGCTACTGTCAAAGAACTAAACAGAACTAATGCTATTAGTCTTAGTTTAATAAGTCAAGATAAGCCCAATAGTAAATCTTAAAAAGAAATATAACAAAATAATATTTTGGCATTTTTTTGCAGCAATGCATGGCAGAGGAGTTGTTGATAGCATTATGGTTAAGTGTTTAGCTATCAATAAAGTAGTCATAATAAAGTAGTCAATCTATCAATAAAGTAGTAAATCAGCAAATAATTTTGTGAATTCTCTTCAAGACAATAATATCAAAGTTCTATACTTAGCAGAGGAAAAAAAGTCAGCATGCAATTGTGTGCTGCAAATATAAAAAATTATTCAACAAGTAAAAAAATTGAAAAATATCTTTAAGATAACCCACTACTTTTATGTTGGTAATGGCTAGATCAAAGCGGAAAAAACTTCATCTAATGCATTTAAAACAAACAAAAGGAATTAATCTTTATTTTAAAGTATATTCTTATTTGGTTAATATTTTAGTTTTAATAAAACAAATCGTTTGTAAATGCAACTAAGGGGGGCCCATAAAGTACATCATCCTATATTTGTCATTTTTTAATATCTTCCCTCCTGTCACAAACTGTGATATTTTTTGTGTCAAAAATATTTTAAAAGATTTAAATGTAAATACTTTGCAGCATTTTAAAATTAAACTTAATGAAAATACAGCAATACATAAGAAGTGTAAGTAAAATTTTTGAATAACTAAAACATTTTCTTATTTAAACGACTCAATAAGTATTTATATTAAAGTAATTTTTTAAAGTTGCTCTTGGTCTTGCAGAATAAACTGTTATCGATATGATAACTTTTATAACATTGATTTTTCATAACATAAATTTTATGAAAAATAAATAAAAATAAAATCACTCAGGAAGAGTGACATTAGTTATTTAAAATTGCCTTTGTTAAAATTAAAAATTACTTTAAATTTAAAATTACTTTTTAAGAATGAGTTTAATACTTTTGCATTTCTTTTGTTAAATTAAACTCTTAATATTAGATATAAAAAATTCACGACAATCACTTGGTAACATAAGTTAAATATATAGTATCAAGAAATTAAGTTTATTTTCCTTCGCCAGTCACCTCAGATGAATTTTTATATATCCTTTATAAATCCTTAACAAATCTCTAAAATAATTTCAAGTCTGTCTATTATCGTTTTCATAAATAATATAATTGTAGAATATACGCTTATTTATATGAAACATTTATTTTTAAGTAGTATGTATCTTTTGCAATTTTTTAATCTGCTTTTAGAATTATTAAAGTTTATTTGTTTAAGGTGTTAGGTAATGAAACATGTTTTATTTTGTAGATGATGTATTGAAAATGTATTTAACAAGCTGTTTAAATTTATAAGTTGTCATATTAAAGTAATTTTTTAAAGTCACTCAGGAAGAGTGATTTTTCATAAAATTTATGTTATGAAAAATTAATGTTATAAAAATTATCATATCGACAACAGTTTTTTTGCAAGACCAAAAGCAACTTTAAACAATTACTTTAATATGACAACTTATTTTAACAAGCTGTTTAAATTTAAAGAAGTTGAAAATTTAAAACTTTTTTAGGTGCTCTTTAAAAATGTTAAAAGTCCTGATGAGTTTCAAGATGAATTAGCAAACAACTCACAAAACATTATTATGTTGGTAAATCTAAGACATCCTTTCAAATGAACTCACAAAACATTATTATGTTGGTAAATCTAAGACATCCTTTCAAATGAAGTCACAAAACATTACTATGTTGGTAAATCTAAGACATACTTTCAAATGAACTCACAAAACATTATTATGTTGGTAAATCTAAGACATACTTTCAAATGAACTCACAAAACATTATTTAACAATGTTTTGTGTTTAATAATATTATGTTGGTAAATCTAAGACATATTTTCAAATGAACTCACAAAACATTATTATGTAAATCTAAGAATATTTAAAGCAGCTCAAAAAAAGCATAAACGCAAAAAAATATATTATGTGAATAAATTTTGCAGAAAATTTTTTATTTGTAATTTTATTGAGATCTTTAGAAGAAAATTTATCTTTAAAATTTAACTTTATTGTGTTATATCTGACAATCTGCTTCACAATACTGATGCAGTTTTTAGTTATGTTTCAAAACTGAACTGTCTGATATTTTCTGAAAAATATCCGCCAGTTCAGAATTTATATGTTATTTCTTACCTCAATTATCCTGTTCATTTATATATTATTTCTCACGTTATGCTGCTTAAAAGATAATGTAACATCAATGAGCAGTAAATTTAATATTTTGCACATACTGGAAGATAATTGCTTACACATAAGTCACTGAAATTGACATCAATATTCATTAAACATCTGATTGTGGATTACTTTTCCTGGTAAGATAACAGTTTTTATAAGTGATTCTGTTTGCATCAGCTGTTTACAAAGTGTTGGTGATTAGGGTTTCTGATCGGTTTTAAATGATAACCAAAACCCGCAGTTTTTTTTCAAAATCGATAGAAATGAAAACCGTTGGTTTTCAAAAACGGTTATGGCGGTTTTTTTGTATAATGTCTTTTGAATGTTTATTTATTATAGAAAGGTATAAATAAATCAAATTTGTAAGCAATTAAATTTCTATTTTATTATTTAGATTGTATTTTGCTGGAAAGCTTAACATGTCTTAACATGTTCCAAAAAAAAAAGTTTGCATATCAAAACAAACGTATCAGTTCGCAAGGAAACGGACAGAAGAAAACATGTTTAATATGATAAATTTAGTTGAATTATTAAATAATGAAATTAATGTTGACCCAAAAATTTTCAATGCAGTTGATGCATTAAAAAATACTTAAAGTTTGATGGAAAACTTGTGTTAAGGCTTTTTGGATTTACTTCTAATGATGAGGAACCACTACTAGCTTAAGCACCATGAACAACATTGGAAAGTTCATCTGTTTCTTTTAAGGATGAATTAAACGCACTTCTCAATAAAGATATCACACACTTGCAAATCTATTGATCAATTCAAATGGCTTAAGTAAGAGTTTTTGTTGTATCTAAATATGGGCAAAAGAACAGAAAACCTTTAAAAAATTTACAATGCGATACTCTCTATAAGCTCGCCTCAACAGATCAACAGATGGCAAACACATATTTTTAAGCTGCACACAATTTCTTTTTGGACAAAATCAGATCAGGATGATAAAATCAGATCAGGATTAATTATCTAATGAACCGTTAAAATCTTTAGTTTTCTTAAAAAATTTTTATAATAAAAATTAATCCTTTTTGAAATATAAACATGTTAGAACATTTTGTTTAAATACTATTTTAATATTTTTATTTTATTTTTTTGATTTCTTGTCAGGTCAGGTTTATCCTGCTACTGGTAACATGTAACCCAGTACAATCTGCTTCATGTCCTGCTGCCTTGTAGGATATGCCTTTTTAGGCAAAGGCTAGGAGATGCAAACTCCAACATAAAACACCCCCTGCCTTGGGGCTCTTGGTTGAATAAAGGCTAGAGATGGTGTCTCGATAAAAATACTCATCTTGGGCAGATGTTAAATGCATCCGGCTGCTGTCTTGTAGAAGGCCTCCTAGGCAAAGACTTAGGAGGTAAACAGATTCTATCTGTTGACCAGCCTCGCACCCCTTCTTCATCTATTAGGCTGGCGCAGATGTATTTTTAATACATTGTTTCCGGTTTAGGATGTTGAACGCTGGATCTTCTTGACTCGATGCATGGGTTTTGCTTGTGTTTCTGTTTTTATGACTAGGCAACTCATTCTAGTATCTTCAAATAAGGGTACAGCTTTAAAACTCAGTTTTATGGTTCTGAGGCCGGCTAGTAGTCAAGTTTCCCGAACTCTGTTCGGGAAACCTGACTACCAGCCATAATGAGAATAATTAATAATATGTAATTTAAGGATTGTAAATAAAAAAAGTTGCAAGACAAAAATTATTATTACTAAAGGTCTGAAAAACTTTCGCAGTAATTTAAAAATCAATCATTAAAAACTTTTTCTCATTATGGCTGGTAGTCAGGGAAACCTGACTACCAGCCATAATGAGAATAATTAATAATATGCGCGTTGTATAAAACTTTGTAGAAAAAAACAACCAATTAAAAAGTATGCTAAAGCTACTTGCGCTAGTGATGTAAATTTTTCAGTAAAATTTTTCAATCAAAATTTACCAGTAAATTTTAATTAGAGAACTGTAAATTTTCCTTTAAAAAATTAAAAAAAATAAAATGAGTGAAAAAAAATTTTAAAATTTACTAGGTGGTAAATTTTCAAAATTTTCCGGTAAATTTACCAGAAAATTTTCCGGTAAATTTTACCTTCGCAACACTAACTTGCGCATTATATAAAACATCAAAATAGATTTTTATTTAGGGGTAAAGTTTATGGAATTATTTATTAAAAAATTTAAATGTTTTAAATTAGAATTTAATTATTTAATAAGAAAAAAAATTATAAAGAATATTTTTTTTAAATATGTTAATAGAGTTTCTTTTTTTTTTTTGTTTTAAAGTAACTATTAAAAAGTTTAAATTAGTTTTTATTTATTAACTCCTCCGTCTTTTAATTTTATATTTGTATCAGCTAAAGTGTTACAAGCATTAAATTTATAAGAAAATATTGAATGAGATTTAAATAACATAAAAAAGTATTTTATATCTTAATAAACTGTTTCTTTTATTTAAAATATTCGATCACTGTTAAGGTCCTTTAGATTGTTGTGATTAGTGCTTGTTTTTGTCTCCAGTAATCAAGGATAAAAAAAAAATTATTATTCCCATTGCTAAACAATTTTTGTGTTTTGGAGCTACAGAGTTGGGTAGGTTTAAAAGAGATTGCGGTATCAAAAAAGTAAATAATAGTGGGAGAGAATTGGAACAACTTTTAAGTTAATAATAAATAAATATAAAAAAGATATTATGATTGAACATTTTTGCACAACTATTTTGTAAAAATAGAAAATAATAAAATTTACCAATTGTATTATCTCTCAGCTCTTGTTCAACTGCATCATAGTGTGCTGAAAACTTTTGATTGATAGCAATATTACTTCTTTGGTCCATGTCCTAAATTGTAATCACAAAGTTAAGATTACTTTTGTTATGATTTTTTCTTATGGTGTTGAATTCATTTAACAAAAAAAATATTTTTAAACAAATGAGGCAATTGAGTTGTGATCAAAGCAACCCACTGAGATGATGGTAAACTCTGAAAATAATCCCTATTTTAGTGTGGTATAATTTAATAAGTTGAAATTTAACCAGGGTCAGGTTTGATAAAGTAGAGCCAGAACCCAATTTGTGCCTAAATTATGATACATCCTAAAAAGATATTATTTTTATTTGAAATACATGTCATTTATATGTGTGTGTGTGTGTGTGTATATATATATATATATATATATATATATATATATATATATATCAGTTTTCCTGGGAAGTGTGTGCGGTCGCACCCCTTGCTTGTTCATGCTTGAAGTTATTTTTTTAGAAAACTTGACAATGTTTTAATATAGCAAGCATTTTAATAATTTGCGGCAAAATATTGCTATAAGAAACTAATGAGAATAAAACAGCAATACTTGAAGAAAAGAACCAAAGACTATACAAGCTTAGACAGAAATTGCGTGTGATCGAGTTCTATTGCTGACCATGCAAAATATTTTATTTTTTGACAACTTGACCACAATTGTTTATGTTTTGATGATTTAAACATTTCAGAAATGCGCTGAATGCAGAAACAGTGAGCTACGCTTAAACTAGGAAAAAAGTTAAAAAAAAAAACAAAACAAAAAAATTCCTAACAAAAAAAAAAAAGAAAAAAAATTCATTACAAAAAAGAAATTATATAAGCACTAAAATAAAAATAAAAACTTTAACTCGAAGCGAAACGTTTAGTTACATTTTTAATTACGTTTGAAATAAATGTTATTAAAACTTATCTTTTTTAAACACTTTATTAAAGTTACGCAAACCCTTTTATGTTAAGTAACAAAATACTACTAATGATTGTTTAATAAATGAATAAATTTTATCAAATTTATTAAAAAGTGTTGTATATAATATTTTAAAATTGTATAGCCATTTTTTTTTTCAAAAAGGTTGCAAAAAAATTGTTAAAAAAATAACAGTCTTTTAAAAATAGTAATTTTTAACAATACCGTAATCTAATTAGTAAATCTAGTTAAAAAAAAGGTTTTCAACTTTTTTTATTCATAAAAATAGGAAGAAAAAAAAAATTTGCCTGCAATTTAAATAAAGTAAACTGCCAACAATCAATTTAATTTAATTTTAATTTGAACATTACAACTTTATTAAAAAGTGCTTCACGTAACAAATTTAAAAATTATTATGAAAGATTTAAACTCATTCATTCCTATCATAATTAAAAAATATATATATTTTTTCAAAAAATAAAATGTTTGTTTAAAGGGATCCCTAAGTGCCGAGACAAGTTGTGTTCATATCATAGATAAATATCAGAAAATAAGTTGAAAGTTAATTAAACTTTCCAAAAAAATTATTGAATAAGATATAAACCAAAAAAATTTATTTTTAATGCTATCAGCTCTTTGAATATTTTTATCTTTTAAATCAGATCTGATTAATGCGCTTATATTTGACATGAATACAAAAAGTTTCTTTCAAAAAACTTAAATCAAGTTTAAATTGCAGGGGTTTCCCCTTTAACGGTTAAACAAAAATATAAGATTCAAATATATATTAGATCATTTTAAAAACAATTTCTTGAGTTAGAAACAAAAATTATTATAAACTTAAGTTAAAAATATATATAAGATCATTTTTAAAACGGTTGCCTCAATTTGTCAAAAAAATGAAGATTTTGAAATCTTTGTATATAAAAAAATTGATTACTTTTTTCCTAAGAAAAATATTCATCTTGTGAATATTTAAAGTTCGCTTCGCCTAAATTACTATTTTTATTATGAGTTTATTTAACTCAAACACTTAACGATACAAAAAACAAAAACACGCAACAGCAAATGTTTTTTATAACCACCGCAGACAAAATATGAGGAAGGAAAGCCCAATCTAATTGTGTAAAACTGAACTGAGTTTAAAAACTCTGTGGTGAGCAAAAATATTTAATATTGAAACCAGATATTTTTTAATGGATAAAACTTTGCAGATTTGAGAACCTAAAATTAGGCTCTTAACTGAAAGTATAATGGCAAAACAACAAATGCTTTTGTTAATATCTCATTCAATAATATTTTTTAATGTTTATCTATGATATAAACATAACTTGTCTCTGCACTTGGGGATCCCTTTAAAAGATTTTAAAAATTGTTTAATTATAAAAATTAATTGCATGAATATTACAAAATGCTTCAAAACTTTTCCATTAATCAACAAAATACATGTTATTTTATATTCTTGTATAATTCATGTAAAATGTAAAATGAAGCTAGTAGTCACAAAAGGTTTTGAACTTATTCATAAATTAAAGTAACTTGAAAAGAATTCTTTCTAAAAATAATGGTTTAAAAGATTATTAGGAAGACACAAGGAAATAGTTTTAAACGTTTAAATTTATCATAAAAATTATATGCCTACATAAAAAAGATTTATATATAACATTTTTTTTAAATTTATACATGTGTTTATGTAAAAAATCATTATAATTAATTTTATAGTTTTATTTAAAGTCTTTGCATAAAATAAAAACTTAAAAAGATATCAACCATTAAAGTTAATCATAACCCAACACTTTTTTTATTGCATAAGAATTGTTAAAATATCAAAACAGCCGTGGTCAAGTTGTAAAGAAAAAATATATTAGCGTGGTCAGTTCCAGAGTGCGATCGCATGCCATTCCTGTCCAAGCCTGACTATACAAAATAGAAAATCTAAATAACTATATATAATTAAACTACAAAAAATTGAATATTAAAAAAAGAAAATTGTTGTCAAAAAAATATACCTAAATATTTTACTCTTTTTGTTTTCTTATTTTTAGGGCATTAGTTATTTTCCACTACCAAATTTGATACAATTCGAAGAAAAAAGTTGACAAGAATATAATGAAAATTTTTTTTTTTTGAAAAACCTGCAAACGGCCATGACCAAGTCTAAAATAAAATACTCGCGTGTGGTCATACAAGACAAAAAACCGTATGCCTTTCCTGGGAAGTCTTGTAATATGCTTTGAACTGGGCTTATATAATAGATATTATCAAAACTAGTGTAAACTCACATAATCTGCTTGTTCACAATTTCACAACAAAATATATTTGCTGTTTTTTTCAATAAAAACAAAATGTGTTACAGTTTTTCACTTTTCGCATTGGTTTTTGCTTTAAAGCACAAAAAAAAAAAAAAAAAAAAATTGAATTTAAAAAAAGCTAACAATATAAAAATCCAAATTATCTGGAACTTGGTTTCTTTCTAATCCAAAATTCCGAATTTAATAAAAAAAAAAGAATTTTAGAAATCCTAAATTCCAAAATCCTGATTTAGAATCCTTATTGTAGGCCTCCTTGAAAAAAAAAATTCTGTTATATAACTCATACTTTATATATTAAATTTAATCAAAGTGTGACATGAGAACTTGTCTCACTTTTTGTCCATCAATAGGTTTTTTAAATAATCAACAATAAATATGATTGTCATTTGGTTAATAAAATTGGAATGAGCAATGCTGCCATACTTTTTAAACATGACTTGGGAGGCAAAGTACAAGTTACAATGCTTACAGATTCTATAAGATAAACTTGATTGCACTGAGGGACAAATAGATCATAAGAATGAAGTTTATTAATTTTAATAATAGAGGAATGGTGCTTTAAATACTGGAGGCAATAAGAAAAATACAGAAGGAAAACAATTCTTGCTAGTAACGCCTGAAATGGCTACAGCTTTCAAGCCGTCTTTTGACTGGCAGATTGGAATAGGTGAAGGCAGAAATCGACCAGTAATAACATAAAAATAAGAGCTCCTCTTCAAAAAACAACATCAGAGATCCTCACAGTTCATAATTTGTGTGAAATATTGGTTGGTGGGCACACGAGAGGCTAACCACTCCTTATGCTTCAACAATAGATGACGAGTATCAAGCATTCTTTTACATAAAAATTGACTGCAAAGGGAAAACTCAAATAATATTTATAACTCGAGTTTAAGTTATTTGAGAGAACTTTTTTGTATTGACGTCATTTATTAAATACAAAAGCGCATTAATCAGACCAGTATTTAAAAAAAAAAAAAAAGAGCTGGGACTTAGCTTTAAAAAAAATGGCGTTTAAAATTATAAAGTGTTTTACTAATATCTTGATAAATAATTTAATCTGGAAAGTTTAAATAAAATGAAACTTATTTTTCAAGGATTTTTTATATTATGAACATAACTTGTCTTGGCACTTAGGGATCACTTTAATGGTCAAAAAATAAATAAAAACAATCAACATTTTTTTTAACATTTTGGCTTAAACAAAATCTTCACATACTACTCATAAACTAGTTAATAATTTTTAGCCGAGGTTCATTCTATGATTAATTTAAAAAATTAATGATAAAGAAAAAACTTTTGTTAAAAAGCAATTTCAAAACTAAAAAAAATCATCTTTTCATAAATTAGTTTATATAAAAATTACGACAAATTTGTCTGAAATATTTTAAATCAAATACTTTTGCCTACAGGCTCGATAATGGTTTATGTGGCAATGCATATACAGTTATAAGTGCATTAAACACTTTGGTATATTAGCACTTTCGTAACAAAATGAAAAAAAAAAGTTATTAATTTGCAACTATAAATAAATAAACAAAGTAGTTAAATGTAATACGAAAAAAAATTAAATTTATTTTTAAAAACTTTCATTACTTTAACATATTTTGGAAATTTTTGCAGTAAAAAAAATTTCAAAACTGAGCATTTTTATAAGATTTTGAATTAAACTTAATAAAATAAATTTATATTTTGTTAATCTTTAATAATAAATTTAATTTAAATATAATAAAATAAATTGAAAATAATTTTTTTTTAAAAACAAATAATTGAAAAAAATTATTTAACTTTGTCTTTTTATCTAATATAAAAGATATTT